GGGGGCGTCGGAGTCGAGGCGGCAGCGGCGCCCCTTCCGAGGAGTGCCCGCGCACCCGCGTTGATTGACTCGTCCGCCTGCTCCTTCCCGTCCGAAGCGTTGTCGAGGTCTTCGGCTATTCAGCATTCACCAGTGGCGGCTGGTGCCTTTAATGAGTTGGGAGCGGGCTGCATGCAAAAATCGAAAATGAATTACGATATGTTCAATACCGGTGTAGGTCTACCGCGAGCGTTTATATCACACTTCTCTTGAAGAGTTAAGTTTCTAAATTTCACAGTTTTTAAATATTGAACACAATTACTATTCGTATCGATTCCAAACGTGAACTAGTAGCTCTACAACAGCGTGTTCGTTCCCACTCGTACTTTCACGCTAAATTAAGCGAAAAGTACTTAAATTGTAGAAAAATTTTGCATGGCTTCATTTAATATGTATCTTTAAGGAAGAGATTTCAGTAAGGAAAACAATCTATCATCAATATTTTAGTCCTAGGAAGACTCCAAAAATTTTTGAACTTTTGCAATTTTCGAAAAATTAGAGTTTTTAACGAAAATGAGACCAACCCTAATCTCTTAAACCCTTCACACTATTAAAGCTGACAAACTAATCCTAAGCGGTTTGTTTATTTTACATTCTGTTGCGTAATGTGAACTGTTTGTATTTGAGAATGATAATCTTTGCCACTTTTTCCTCACATTTACATAATTATAAAGGTAAATTTCAAATTTATCTTAATGAAGGAGTGGAATGTATTCAATAATTGCATTAAGGCGTGAATGTATGAAGTGATCAAAAGATATGAAATTAATGAAAAAAGTATGAATAATAGAAGTGGACGAACAGGGCAAGAATGGACAGAATGTTTAATATATTGTGGAAAATAAATACCGGAGTGTATACTGCTAATTAAAGCCAGAACCATGAGCCCTGGTGTTAAGCATACTGGACACTGACATTGCATATACGCATATTGTTATGTAATAATGTTTCAATGTAGATTTTTATTGAACTTAATTTTAATAAATTTACACGATTTGCTTATGTGTTATTGTGTATTAGAGTTCTGGATTATGGACTGAAATTCCTGTCATTCGATGGAGCTGCAGCCACCTCTTTTCAAGGGGGAGACAACTCCATTAGTGTCGGTGTCCAATTACACACATATCTCACATACTGTAGCGCGTCAAGCCAAGATTTTATAGAAGGATTCGGATATGGATGTAATACATGAGAGACCCAAAATGGCCCCATGCCACAGACACAAATTAAAATATTCTTGCCTTATGCTAGTTGCGGATATTTAACCTTAGTGTCTACGTACTTGGGCTCACCTGACCCAAGTCTCTGTCTTAGGAGGCCGAATCACGTGACAGAACGGATTGTAAACCCGTTACGGAGATGTAATGTAGTAATAATAATTAGATAAAATTAATAATATAACTGACTTTTTGTCATGGCCTTTAATGTTCGTTGGGGCTTTGAAATTATGCCTTTTATTCACTTGACACCATTTTTATCCATTGTAAAATACCATCTTACTGACGTCAACCAGATCGATGAGGGAATACAGTTATGGAGAAAATCGTCTGAACAGTTTAGGCGCTAGCGTTTACCACAGACAGACAAATGGACAGTCAGTTTGCTGTCAATCGATTTTTAGGTTTCAATGACCCACAACGCTTGTATTCTGGCAATACAATGTTAAAGAAAGGAATTTACTACTATTGGAACAAGATATAGGCCCTTTTTCGTTGCCAGGTCCTGCAAGAAAAGTTTTCTGTCGGAAAATCGCTGATGTTCGGCTCACAATTACAATACTTTCTCTTCTAAGTAAGGCGAGAAAGTTAACTAATATATATCTTCAATATTGGATTTATTGGAAGACGCCAAAATGTTTTTTGAACTTTTGCATTTTTCAAAAACGTAAAGTTCAGTGAAAATGATACCTGCACGTGAGACAGACACATTTTTAAGAGCGATTTGCTTCGTACGGGGGAAAACATTTAATACAAAATTTGATTTATTATTGAGAATATTTTGAAAATGTTGAGGTTTCTTGTAAAGAACTCCTAAAAATTAAAATATCTATATCATACTCGCAGTGCCTTGAATTCAGATGAATCGATCGGTGAACATAATATTTGAGTAAGTCGCCTGAAAACGGTTTTGATGCTAGCGTTGCTCCCACACAGACACAAGATAGAACAGTAACAGCTAGAGAGGTTAATGGACAGACGGTATATCGTCAACCAATTTTTCGGTATCAAGGACCCACAATACGTGGATTCTGACTACATAATGTAGATGAAGTAATTCATCACATACATGACAGTAATTTATACACTTTTTCGATACCAAAGTTCCTCAATATAAGTTTATCTCTTGAAAACTCGTCGATTTTGCCGAAGCATTGTAATACATATTTTACTACTTATGTACGTAGTATGGTGAGAAAGTAAGAAGTATGGTATAATTTTTATTTAAATTTTCTTGATTTATCATGGCCTGAATGAATCACACAAAATTGAAACATACATGAAGAACATGTGTAAATCCTACATATTTGCTGTGTAATCAGTAGCAATAAGATGTAACATTTGGTGTGGATGTGATAAATTCTACATGGACTGTCCAAAAACAAAAAAACAACTCGGCAATGCTCTGTGTATCAAGGCAAACGGGACAACAAACTTTCACTGATGTGGGAATTGACCAAAAATACAATAATTTCAATAATTATATATATATATATATATATATATATATATATATATATATATATATATATATATATATATATATATATTATATAATTATATATATATATATCGGTCACATGCGTATTTAGCCCGTGTTGCCCGTGTTTGCAATCCTGCATGTTTGCTATGTGCACTTTCACATGTATGTTAAGAATTTTAACATCCTTACCAACGTAAATAAACAACCATCGATTCATCGCAAAATGTTTATTCAGAAAAAACATGGCGATGTACAAAACAAATCAGATTCAAACAATTCAGAATAAAAGTAACTCATATTAGTTTTTGAGTTAAATGTTTTAATTGTAATATTAATGGTTCAATTAAAAAAGGTATAGTGGGTAAATTAACCCCATTTTCCTGGCATTCCACCAAATGAAACTCTTCTGTGGTATTCATATTTACTGACGATCTGAAGATGTTGTCACTGGAAGTCGACGCGCCTACTACCTCACCGAACGTCATTTCTTTAGTTGCCTTTAGGTTCAGGAGAATTATTTGTATCCATCTTTTCTCGAACCACGGTATACGAATATTGTTTAAATAGATGTATCACTAGCAACACTTCAGAATATTGTAGTAACGTGCCGCAGCAACAGGATTCATTTGTTTTGTTTGCAGTAATGTCGAAATTTTAGCATAAATCGATAGATTTTATGGTGCCCGATAAAATGGTTAACATACCACGAAATGTTAGTTATTACTGTCTCGTCCAAATTAAAAATCTCGGATCCGCCACGCTCAGCCACCATTTTTAACTTTGGCCTCTGCAGTAATAACGCTCATATCATTTCTATCTAAGTTAATAGCTATGAAAAATAATACAATCAAGTTATATTGGAGATTATGATATGAATTTCGTATTAAAATTAAGAATTATTTTAAAGTAATTTAGTCTTCCTCTTGGAGGGAGGAGGGGTTCACGTTGGAATACAAAAATTAATTCCTTAAGCTTGTCAGTTTCTGACTTTTCTGCCAGGTATCTGACTAAAAAATTGAGTTTTTTGGTTCGTTGTAATTAATAACTTTCACTAGATACTTCTGTGTTAGCTAAAAACGCTTTCGAATCGTACGTAAATTCATAGAAATCTTAAACCTAACCCAGCGATTGTGGTATGAAATGAAATGACACGATCGCATTGTTTTTTCATTCATTAATCACATCATCAGTTCACTAATTCATTAACTCTCCATCAACTCTGCCCACAAAATCGACGTAAAATTTGAAGTCTAATATGTGAGGAAAAGGTGAAATAGAAATTGCAAAGAACTTCGATTGTCTAGTGAATGAAAATATAATTATTTGACTGAAGTTGAAGTAAACTATGTAATGAACGTTAATCGTGTTTGGTATGGTGTCTGGTGTTTGGCATAATATCTGACTCAAGCATACATGAAAATTTTGCACTCGTAATACCCGCCTCCAAAAATCAATATTAATCTGCTAGTGCCATCTATTGTCAAAATTATTAACTCAGTTTTATCAGGAACGAATAGCATTTGGCCTTCCATAGTAGTATTTTATTGGTGAAAACTAAATGACGAAGAAACAAGCCATCTGATTGGTCAACGTCTAGAAATCTGAAGTTTTGCCGCGTTTCTGCGGCGTGGTGGTGGACTTGTTTGTTTGTGTTGACGATGTTACGGCATTTAATTTTAATTGGTGTTTCTTTTGTCAGATTTCTCTGATAATTTTTACAAGAAATGCTCGTTTATTTAATTTTAACGGCATTAAGTGTATAGAAAAACGAAAATGCCTCCTTTTTCAGGGGGACGAACTGGCTTCGGAGAGCGAATTGAGGTTAGATTCTTATTATTTACAAATGTCTTTCAAAATCGTATCAACTTTTTTTTATATATATATATTGATTTTTTTTATTCATAGAACTACGAAGTCCATAATTTACTCGGAAAAGGAGGATTTGCCAGTGTTTATAGAGCAAAATGTTTGAAATCAGGCACAGATGTTGCTGTGAAAATGGTATGTGATTTAAGTAGCCACACATTGTAGACATTAAATTAGACTTTGTTATCGTTAATACATACAATCTTCAACACTTGTATTGTTTCTTGCACTTCAGATCGACAAGAAACTTATGCAAGCTGCTGGAATGGTAGAGAGAGTTCGACAGGAAGTAGCTATCCATTGTCGCCTGAAACACCCATCAGTTTTGGAATTATATACCTTTTTTGAGGATGCCAATTATGTATATTTAATTTTAGAACTATGCCACAATGGTGAAATTCAAAGATATCTGAAGAACAATTCCAAAATATTAGATGAACAAGAAGGTATGGAATATTTTTCCTGGAAGATAGACCAAAGTGCTTTTACAATTCAAAATGATATTTCCTGGAATATATTTTATTATATGTCATATTCTTTGTAATAGTGTGTTCAGTGTAGAATGTGCTTGCTTTGTTTTGACAGCCAGTCACATTCTTCGTCAGGTGGTGCAAGGTCTGCTGTACTTGCACTCCCATAACATTTTGCATCGTGACTTATCACTGTCCAATTTGTTACTGACTCGTGATATGCAAGTGGTATGTATAATTTTCTTGTCATAAAAATTTTTGAGTCCTGTGGTTGAAGATGTTATTTTATTTGATGTTTGTGTTTAGAAAATAGCTGATTTTGGTTTGGCTACTCAGTTAACGAGACCTGACGAAAAGCATCATACTATGTGTGGGACCCCTAACTACATTTCTCCTGAGGTGTGTTTAATTTATTATTCTGTTAAATATCATGAAATGCTGGACATTACTTGATTAAAATCTTGTACCTTACAATTAATAGAATTTCATGGATATAACAGAGAGGACAAAATGAAGTTCATGGTGTGTTATAAAATTTTTTCTGAAATGTCTTGTTTTTAATTTTATTATCTTTTCCCTAAAAAATAGGTTGCAACGCGCAGCTCTCATGGTCTGGAAGCAGATGTATGGGGTTTAGGATGTCTACTGTATACACTTCTTGTTGGACGACCTCCATTTGACACTGATGCTGTTAAAAGCACCCTTACTCGAGTTGTTATGGCTAACTACAAGGTAATGTTGTTTACCTTACCTTAACCTGCAAATGTTGCGTATAAAATATTGTCAGTACAAGTGTTCTTAATATTTTGAATATCTTTCTAGTTGCCAGCCTACCTTTCTTTAGAAGCTAAAGACTTAATAGATTCTTTATTAAAAAAGAATCCTAAAGAACGAATACGATTATGCAATATTCTGGATCATCCTTTTATGAAGCATTCAAAAGTCCAGAAGGAATTGAAGAATGAGGTGTGTACTAACTTTCTTGTATACGTAATACTATTCTTTGTGCTTGACACTATGGCTTCCGCAGAGAATACTTTACTTCTCTTACCATGTGTGCACTGCAAGATCTTTTGTGTGCAATCTGAAGAAATTAGTAATACTTTCTCAGTGCGGAATGGTGTATAATGTGGCAATCTGTGTAATGTGAACATAAATTACAGTTGTGCCAATCACAAATTCTGCAGTATTACATTGCATTAAGTGAAATATTGCCTAATATGGAAAAAATACTGGACCTTGAGAGTCTGCACTGAGGAAGTTTTACTGTGTTAAATTTCAGTCTGATACATACATATACTGTGTGGATACATTAAACGATATAATATTTTGATATTGGGTATCATAAATGCATGGCAGAAGCTCTCAGCTGATGCAACACTCAACCCCCTTCATTTGTTCATTACGAGTTGGTGGCAACAAGTGTAGATTTCGTCACTGGAGAAGTTGCTCTTATTGTGTGTCACTACATATCCACTGTCAGCATCATTAGTATCTCTCAACGTCAAACAGGAAGAAGTTTGATACAATGTTTAAATGAACTCGTGGAAGGAAACAAAACAAACATAATCATTTTTCCTGTTTGTCGATAAATGTTTGTAAGATTTTGAAGTATTGTTTTCATTGTTGTATCTTATCTTGGTCTTTCAATTTTGTGTTGTTTGGAACAAATAGAGAAACTTGAATCTGAATCTGTCTCTGGAAATTTAGAGACTAGGCTGAGCATCAAAAACGAAATAAATACTTGTTTTGAAAATGATGTGAATGCATTACTGTTCAAATAATATTTCTGTTGCTTGACAGCTAACAGCTGACTCAGGAGAGGAGGTTCTGTTATACAATCATAGGTTCCATATTTCTGTTGAAGTCACTACAGGGTTGCTGGCACATTGCTTATTAAGAAAAAAATGAAATCGCTCAGCACAAAGTAACTAAATTGAAGAGCGCCATTACTTTTTTGGTTATGCATCATGTGTGTGCTCTTATTGTGATTTGTCTTGCAACTGTTATGATCGATCCAATGCAAGAATAATTTCACAACTGTGTATGTGCTGCTTGAGTATGTGGCAACATCGCTCTACCCCCACTTCAGCTGTCAAGTAGATGGAAATATTAATCAGGCAATGGTTTCCATTTGTATTGTCAGAATCTAAATATGCCTATAAGAAGTAGTGTATTTCACCTTTTGGGGCAATTACATCCCATTCACAGTTTAATCGGTCCATTTATATATTGTCGTAGTAATTGTGAAAATCTTTCTGGAAGATTTTAGAAAGGAAGGTGGATCTCAAGAGTGGTATCAACATGTTTTCCAATTTGTAATGTGAAGATTTTTGTATTCATTGGAGCTGAGAGCCACATGATGAAATATTTTATAATAAGTTGCAGAATACTGCCATTTTAATGGTGGTTCAGCACACCCTCATCAACAGTATGTGTGAACTGCAACAGGACTGAAGTTACAGATTCTCCATCAGGCTTTTATATAAGAAACCAAGATCCCTATCCTATCTGCTGGGTTGATACTGACGTTTTTAATTGATTTCAGGCTTTAAATATAGATATTACTAGCAAAACCAGCAGACTTGGTTTCCCTCTCCGTCTCTCTCTTCATCTTTCTCCATCTGCCTCTCTCTTACTTATTTATGTGCACTGCTGTCTTGACCTTCTCCATCTCCATCATGGAGATCGGTCACACAGTCAGAGTTTACCACTTATATGTATCAACATTCATTTTTATATAGAGAGATTAAATAAATAAAAAACTTATTGCCGTATTTTTTAGGAATCGCTGGGAGGAGACAGTGGCAGAGGAACCATTTCAACAAACACTCCCTCTCAGAAGACGAGTTCCCATTTAAGTACAAACTCAGGATCCCGAGCTCTGTGGCCTCGGTTGTTTGAGCCTCTGCCAGAAGAATCTCTGGTGCACTCTCCAAGAGAGAGCTTGTCTTCCAACCGGCATTGCAGGTCACGGTGAGTGTTTTAGCAAAATAGTGATTTTTCTTCACTCCTGCTTTTATCCTGGCATTTATTTGAAAGATTTGTCTAGTGATTTTTGTCATATTACAACTGTCATGTTTATTCTCTTTTCTGTTAGTCCTTCCTTCTCTGAATGATTTTTTGTTACTGTATTTTTATTGTTAATGCCATTTTATTTCACAGATCGGAAGAGAGGTTTGGTAATTTTTGTTCATCAAAATTTAAACAAGCTTCTTCTCTGAGTAATGAAGATGGAAGAATTTCTGTATTCTCCCAGAACGGGATATCTTGTTCAGCCACACCATGCTCCAGTAGCGGCTATTTATTGCATAAATCAGAACAAGGATCTCCGTGTGTATCATATGATAGAAAGACTCCGTGCTCTGCTGGTCATTTTAGTCACGATGAAAAGAAAGCAACTGGTTGTGATGATAAGTGCAGTTCCAATATTTCAAGCTGTTGTAAGAAAGGCTCTGAAGTTTGCCTGAACAGAAGTTCCACTGTGGAAAGTCTGAGTCGATTTGATTCAGCTCCTGAAGCGAGTTCTGCAGCTGCACCTTTGCGAACTTGTTCTTCACATTGCAGTTTCTCTTCGCCTCATGGCAGTAGATGTGCTGTGGGAAAGTGTCTGTCTGGTTACCACAAACCGTCTCTTTCTCAACAGGATGATGACTGCAGTTGTACTCATAAAGGTGTATTTTCCAAATGTAGTAATTGTAGCAATTGCCAGTGTAAACAATGTGAAAGAAGTCCAATTGTTGTGGACTACTCTCAAGAAACAAAGTCCAAACAGCAGTATGGAGATCGAAAATTCTCTGGTGAGCGTGTACTGAATGATTGTTTTGACAAGTATAGTGGTCCAGAAAAAATGAAAGAACACACAGGATCCTTGGATAAATGTCATTTGTCTCAAGGGTCAAGTGGCTCGTATCAAAAAGGTGCAGGGAACGACCATAATAGTCATTGTAGCCATTATAGGGCTGATGTAGATAAACATTGCAATCGAACAACATGCTCACATTCTGCCTGCAGCTGTTGTTTGTTGCACGACTTGCCTGGTTGGAAGGAGTCAGTTGCTTTTGGTAAAAAAATATCTTCTGAAACTTGTGCTGTCACAGAAAGGCTATCAAATGAACAGTGTTTCTTGCCATCGGGGAAAAATCTTGCATCCTTTGAATCTCCAGGTTCTTGCCCCCGTGAAAGTAGATCCACAGAACGTAGAAGGCAAGATAATCCTCCTCAGAGTTCTACTCCTTCTTCTGTACAAAAGGCACCGATATCATCACCTCTGTCTTCTATCCGATTACAACCTACTCGACATAGCACCAAAAATGCAATTCTTAGTATAGTTGCTGATGGTGAAGTAGTCATTGAGTTTCTCAAGAAGAAAAGCAGTGGTTCAGAGGAAAGAGTGGTTGATGTCTGCAGAATATCAAATGATGGAATGAGGGTAAGTGTAGTTGGTAATCATCAACTTATGACCTATACTCAGTTTTTATACTTGTTCTTCTCTCTCTCTTTCTTTCTTTCTTTCTTTGTTGTTTTTATGTCGAAGGAATTTTGTCACAATCCAAGACAAAAATATGTACATTTTTATGCTTGTGTCAAGTAAATGTTCTGTGATAAACTCTTCAGTGTTGATAAAAACTATTTTAAGGGGAATTTCAATAAACAAGAAAGAAAATAAATAAATTAGTGATATTGGGGCTTCAGTTATAACCTTCAGTAAACTTTAATAAATGCTTTACTTGCAATATCAAAGCATATAAATATTTGATAACCTTGACATTTATTTCTGCTTATTTCAAATGTCAGGTGGGTGTATCGGCATCCTCTTACTCATAACTTAGGTGCAAGTGTTGCTCAGTGTATGTAACATTGTTCATTGTTCTAAATTAATTTGTTAAATTGCTAACATGTTCTAATATTGCCAAATGGATTGATACATTTTCTTTCCTTTCGCAGATAGTATTATATCAACCAAATGGTGGAAAGGGCTGTCTAGTAAGGAATTCACCTCCTGAATTACCTGTTCAAGGAGCAGATGCAATTTATAGCTTTGAAACTCTCCCAGCAAAACACTGGAAAAAATATTTATATGCTAGCAGATTTGTTGATCTCGTGAAGGCCAAAACTCCTAAAGTTACATTTTACAGTGAAAAAGCAAAATGCATGTTAATGGAAAATTCACCAGATCCTGATATTGAAATGTGTTTTTATGAGGGTGAGTATATTTTGGTGAGACAAGTAGATTGGAATTTTCAATGGCTGACTAAATGTATTTATTTTCCTTTCAAGGTGGTAAAATTATAAAAAGCAATACTGAAGGAATAAAATTAACAGACATTTCTGGCCGTGTCACTGACCTGTCTTCTCCTCATAAATTAGAATCTCTAGCTCCATCATCTCGACTTATGTGGGAGCATTATCAACAGGTGAATATAAAAATAATAAGAGTTCTTGCTAATTTTGCATTTTTATGATAAATGTTTTTTTTACGCTTTAGAATAAGTATTATTTGATAATTAGAATAGTGGTATGTAAGACTATTATTTTACTTCAGTTCTATTTTTTCATTTCAACTTTATTTCAGTGTGCGGAACATTGTATGCTGCTGGAAAAGACTTTGTCACAGGTTTTTGGAGATTCTCCAAGTACAGCTAATTGCTGTTTCCCTGTTATTGTGGGAAGAAGACCTAGTAGTTCCACAAGCACTGCACTTCAGGATAAGGAAAATGTTCATGCAGATTCCAAGCCTATGGTAAGATTTTCTTAGAAAGAGAAGAGGCAATATTTCCTGAAAAGATTAAAGCAAATCTAAATGAATAATAGCTTGGCGAGGGAGAATCTTGCACCCAGTTCAGCAAGTTTATTAATTTAAAAAAAAAATAAAATATTCATTAGTATCGAAGTAATAAATGTAGCTTCACTATGTGCTGCGTTTTGTTGAACTCTCCTTTTGCTGATAATGCTTAGAGTAGAGGTAAGGACGAGTTGCTATTTTGTTAGCAATGCAGAAAAATCAAATGTGCAGTTCGTTTACCATTGCAAATAAACTTTCTATAACTCAAAAACAAAAATGTCTTAGTTTTTCAAATGTTGCTAATCTAATGCTTTTTTAAATTTTATTTTTATTTATTTATCTTTAACTTTTAGTCATCTTTCAACTATTTATTGTTTGTTTGTTGTTGTTTTTTGACGAAATAAATCTAAATAAAAAGTGTGTATGATTTACAAATCTTAAACATTTTTTTAAAAAAAAGTCAAAGGTTCTCTGTATTGCTGTGAATAGTACATAGTGCTGATTACTAAATCTCAGCTAAAATACCAAAAAATTATTAGGCAGTGTCATCCAAAACAAATTTTAAACGAGAAAAGCAGACAGTTACTTACAAATACAGATTTTTCCTACATTTGGAATTTTATCAGAATTCACCAAAACATGCACAATATTTGGTATAACTCTTGGTAGATTAACTCCCAGTGACTTGAGATAGTAGATGAAAAACTTTTTAGCTTAGGGAGTATCTCCAATGCTTTAAACAGTTTTTAGTGTATTTTCATCTTGAATTGTGGGAGTTACTAATTAGATTAGAAGGATAGGGAAAAGTTGTTCCCCGCCAGCAGACCAGTGACACTTCCCTTACCCTATTCAGGGTAATGTGAATTGAGATGGTCAGACACCTGCAGGTTAATCAATTTTCATTTAGGTATATCTGTAACCCACATTCGCCTGATACAGGATTCGTGCTTTGCCATATCATTTATGAATCAATAGTTTGTCATTATAAAGTCTGGTTTACTTAACACAGGTCAAATGCCAATTTTCATGTAATTCATTTACGAATTCATAATTACAATACACAATGAATTATGTTACTCAACAATGTTTTCTGATCGTTATTGTAATTAAGCTGATTTGAAATTAAAGATAGAAAGTAGCAAAGACATTGTAATAATTTTATTTTGGTAGCCTGATACTTGATACTTGTGTAAATTTATAAACTATTGAATATTAATAACTACAACACCAAAAATTCAAGTAATAAGTAAATACTACAAAACTGTTGAACCAATTTTATAATAAAGAAGTATAGTATTACTTTCATGTGTACTCTGTAGTAATAGAGAAAGTATTGTAATTCTGCAGAAGGAAGTGCTGATTTTTTTTTATGGAAAATCTGATTTAGTTGGTTCTTGATACCAAAAGTGGATTTTTACTCTCATCTACGTACTATATATGTGGAGTAATATTGTTGTATAGAGAAAGTATTGTAGTGATGCAAAAAATCAATTTTGGGATTTCATCAGATATACTTGTTTTGGGGTCTCCTGATGCTGAAAAAGTTGCTTTTTACTTTCTCGTGTACATATGTATTTATATAATTTAGTTCTTTATATTGGGTACATAGGGTGCTTAATGTATATCCTATCTATAAACTGTACCTATTACTATTTCTACACTTCTTTCTAACATGATATTTACAGAATATATTTTAGAAATCACTATATTTTGTGTTCAATGTGTCTGCCTGCTCGACTTGCCACTGGCTTTTTGGCGTGTGGCGGCACTGTTTGTTCCCCTATGATCCCCTGCGGCACTTCACCATAGAACCTTCTGGAAGGGCACACGCACAGTTGTTGCTTGGCATGCACTGTGGGTGGTGTCGCTGTGGTCGGCGGGTGGATGCACCTCAGGGCGGGTTCGTTGTTTATGGTGCCGGAGAATGGGGGGAAAGGGCCGGCGGCCGACCGCTACGGTGTGTAGAGGCACGTACCCGGTAGTACTCAAAAGGCACCACACTGGTCAGTCAGTATCTGCATAGTAAGAAGCGGCGCTACCGAAAATGGCCTCGGCGACATAGGATATTTTCCAAATAGAAGAAACCCCTGGCTATCTGGCCCGAGTCGAAGCTTTGAAATTTTGAAAAACATTCTTGAAAATTTGGGGGTGTACTTCAAATGAAGCCCCCGTAACATTTTCAAAATTTTCTCAAAAACGGCACCAAAGATGTTCCTTAAATTTCTTATAAGAATGTAGTAAAATGCACCTTTATAGATCCGATTTTCTGGATTTTCGATAATTTCAAAAGTTTGCATTTGCGTGTTCGTACAACTACAAAATTAAAGATAGAAATTTTTCCGTCAAACAAAATATGATCTATAATTAGTTCTTACATGAAGGTCATGTACATTTTTTTAAAACGTTTAATAATTTTTGCACGATGTTGCATGCGATTTAAAAAAAATAACAAAAACAAGATCAAGCCATCGAAAACAACTCCAAATTTTTCTTTAAACTTTTGGTCGGATTAGTGCTAAATGTACTAATTAGTTGTCATGTACGCCCTTTGCTCTTAATTACGAAAATGTATTTTTTTACTAGCCTCTCACGCCCATAATATTGACAATGACGATTTGTTCACATTATTGCATTTAAGAGAACGTATGCTTTAAGGCGTTAGTGCCATATACACGTTCTCGAAAACTCGATAATTTTGTGTGAAAACGAGCTCTAAATTCTGCATTTTCAGAAACGCTCAAAGGCCATTTTCTCAAAAACTGCTCCAAATTTTTCTTCAAACTTTTCGAATGGGTAGTGCTAATTGCACTCTATAATATGTTGTTAAGTTCATTGAGGAGTATTTTTTTTTTTAAATTACACAAATTTTAATTTAATAATTGTAATTTTTTTTAAATATATCTCACGTTAATATGCACATTTCCAGGAATTTGTGAACTCTGTTGCATTTGTGAGTTAAAGTGCTTCAAATGACTTCTAATAAAGTTTTTCGAAGACTCGAAAAGTTTATGGGAAAAAGAGCTTCGAATCTTGAATTTACCGTAGCGCTTAAACGCCATTTTCCTAAAAATAGTTGAACATTTTTCAATAAATATTGCCATTCAGGACGCGGTTTTACTGTTCTTTAATATTCCTAAAATAATACATCCATTTTACCATTTCGAAACCGAAATATTGAGATTTTTTTTAAATGTACTTTTGACATCGATAGATTGCAGCTGACAAGAGTATGTGGCAAGTCAAAATAGCTAGCCGAGACCAAAGGCGCAGATCCCCAGTGTACTAATGAGTCGGAAGATTCCGACAATGAGGTATTCTCCAAGAAGAAGAATCCCAAAAAGTTCAAGGAGGAAGAAAAGAAGTTGGGAAGGGTGAGACTACCAAGGGTGGGCGCTAAGGGCTAATGATGGAGAAGAGGTACAAAGTATTGCGCTATTGTTACCCGCGACGTCAGGAACGCATTCAATACGGCAAGGTGGAGTTCCATACTTGCCGCGTTAAAAAATCTTGGAAGTTCCTAGTTACATTACGAAAATTGAAGCCACTTTGAGGAAAGGACCTTTCTGTACGAAACAGAGACCGGAGTAAAGACATCTGCTATCTCGGGTGGTGTTTCGCAAGGCTCGGTACTTGGCTCGCTGTTGTGAAATATTGTGTATGACACCGTTTCTAAGCTCCAGCTGCCGAAAAGCGCGAGGGCTATTCGATTTGCTGACGATGCTGCTGTGGTAGTGGTCGTAATACACGGAAGAGGTCACGCACGTTGCCAACTTACGTGTAGTCCGCAAGAAAGCGCCCCGCATGGCTTCCTCCTTAGCATGAATTATGCCTAACATTGGGGGTCCAAAGCAAAGTAGCCGGAGGCTAGTCTAGCGCGGTGAACTTCATTCTGCTCTACGCAGCCCCCATTTGTTCTGATAGCGTTGGGATCCGGTCATACGCCCGCGGTGCAGTCAGTGTATAGGTCCGTTTCGTACGGTGTCGTATGTCGCTCTGTGTGTGATGGCTGACATGCCCCCTATAGTGCTCAGGGCGCAAGAAAGGGACAGACTCTACTGACGCAAGCGAGAGGGAGCTTCAATTAGGAGCGTCATCTTCAATTAAGTAAATTTCGCTGCCCTAGCTGAATTCTTTCTAAATTTTTACACTGCATAATTTTGTGCGGATCCCAACAAATTGTTCCATTATCGGACGAACAAGCGATAAATAAGCAACTTCTTTCGCGTTTGCCGTACTCTTTTAAGGTGCGCATTTCAAAGTGAAGAGATCTCCAGGTTTTCCCTACAACAAAATCTACGTGACTTTTCCAGCTTAATTTACTATCGAAATGGATTCCTAGGTACTTGCATGAGGAAACTATCGGAATAATGTCTTTATTTAAACGGTAATTCGTTTCTCTGTAATTATGCCCCCTGCCAAAAGTGATGGATTTGCTTTTGGAGCTATTTATGGTCATTCCATTATTTTCCGCCCAGCAATGTAACTCATCAGGATCCCGTTGCAACATTTCTTCGTCTTCTTTTGAATTCATACTGCGATATATTATGCAATCGTCTGCAAATAGCCGAACATTTGATATTACGTGCGCTGGCAGATCATTGACGAACGCTAGAAATAGAAGAGGTCCAATGACACTCCACTGCGGTATTCCTGACGTAACGCTTGGCCCGGTAGAAAACTCGTGGCCAATTCGGACTTTCTGTTTTCTGTCTCGCAGAAACTCGCTAATCCACGCCACCATCCTGAAATATATGCCTGAATTCATTAATTTATGTACAAGCCGATCATTGGGAACGACGTTAGACGCTTTGGCAAAATCTATAACTATTGCGTCTACTCTCCCGCCCGCGTCAATTTCATCTGCTAGATCCTAAAATACCGTGACTATCTGACTTTCGCATGAATAACCACTCCTGAACCCATGTTGGCCATCATAGGTCCATTTTTTTGATTTCTCATTCTTGCTTAACTGGCAACTAGATACTCCATAAGTTTGCAGACCACTGACGTAAGACTTACCGACCTATAATTACTTAATATAGTTTTGTCACAGTTATTGTAACTGCGTCACAGTTGTAACTATGACACATTTTGTCATAGGTATGAGCAAATGCTGTGAGAATTTTTCTTTGAATCAGGGATTCATGAAATTTGTAGAGACTGGTTTGCTGGTGATTATTCTGAGTTTGTCTTGAAACCATGTTTTCTGTTACATGAAGGCTTTACATGTTTCTTTTTCTAATGTTTGGTTTGTTTTTGCTGTGATGATTATGGTTGTGTCATCTGCAAATAAAAGTATTTGTTTTTATTAAAGTCAAAAGAATGTCATTTATGCATGTAAGGAATAGTATTGGCCCCCGGATGGATCCTTGGGGGGCCTCCACAATTTTTCTTTTAAGGGGAGGAGTATTATGATCAGATTATGACCCTCTTTAATGTGCTGAAGGCTAACTACTTGACTATGGGTTGATAAGTATGATTTGATCCATAGGCATGTAATGGTCAGTAATGTCGAAGTCTTTTGACAAATCTAAGAAAAGACCTGGAATTTCCTTCAGATTTAGTGTGACACACATGTCATTTAAAAAGAAAAAGATGGCAGTTTTTATTTATTATTCCTGAAGCTATGTTGCGCACGTTATTTGCATTGAGAAACTGTTCGAGTCTTTCATTGAAAAGCCTTTCCGGGTTTTTTGAAAATTCAGATGGCAGGGATATAGGTCTGCAGTTCAATAGATAATAACTACTCGTATTGCACTTTTTACTTTCCCGTATACGTACGTATGTACTGAGTATGTAATGCTGCGGAAATCGATTTCGAGATTTCAACGGAAATGTACGTTTTGGTGTTTCCTGATACCGAAAAAGTTTGTTTTTTTTCCTTCAAAACGAACCTGTCTCTGTACGTCCGTCCATCTGCTCGTCTGTCCGATATATGTGAACAACACTAGCACCTAAAACATGCGAAGGATTCTTTCCAAATTGAACAAACCCTTGTTCATTTGCCCTGATTCGAAGCCCTGCGATTTTGAAAATCATTCATTAGTCTTGGGAGGGTACTTTGCATCAAGCCCCTAGGACATTTTTAAAATTTTCTCAAAATTGGCTCCAAATTTTTTCTTTAAATTTCTTATAAGAATGGAGGAAAATGCACTTATAAATATGACATATGTCCGATTTTTACGGTTAACTCTGAATTTTCGAAATTTTCAAAAGTTTGAATTTTTTTCGGGTTCTCCTACAACAAAATTAAAGATAGAGATTTTTTTCTTCAAACGAAATTTGTTGTCCATAATTTGTTCTTTCATTAAGATCATGTACTCTTTTTGAAAATTTTAGAAGTTTTCGCGCAATATTGCGTGCAATTTGTGTAATTTTAAATAATTACGAAAACTAGATTTTCTCAGAAATGGTTTCAATTTTTTTTAAACTTTTGTTAGGGATTGTGCTAAATGCACTCTATAAAATGACTTAAACACCATATTGCTCTATTCTTTTGTTTTTTCAAAAATGTCATTTTTTTTGACTTGGCTCTCGTGCTGTTAATATTTACATTAGCAGCAATTTGCTCACATTACAATATTTATGAGTATATATTCTTTAAATAATGTTACATAAAGCTTCTAGAAAACTCACCCATTTTCTGTCAAAACTAGCTCAAAATTTCGCAATTTCAGAAACTAACAAACGCAATTTTCTCAAAAACTGCTCCAATTTTTTCTTCAAACTTTTGTACGGATAGTGCTAATTGTACTCTTTAATATGACGTCAAGTTCATTTCAGTTGCTTTATGTGTGTTTTTTGCATCATACAAATTTATTCTATATATCTCTCACGCCGTTAATATGCACATTTCCAGCAATTTGTAAAACACTTGTATTTGTGAGTTAATGTGCTTCAAATGACTTCTAATGAAGTTTTTCTAAAACTCAAAACTTGTCTGAAAATGTGCTTCAAATTTTGAGTGTACTGCAGCACTTAAGCACCATTTTCTTTAATTTTTAAACTTTTCAATGTACAGTATGTGTATTCCTGCTTTTGGGGAGTAATTGCAAATATGAGAGAATGTTTGGACTATATACGAAGAACTTTATTTGATTAGGAAGGAAAATATTGGTAAAACATTATGAGTAGTTTTCACGTAATTTGGATTGAAATTTTAAAATATATAACACGATTTTCTCATATAAAGCTCTTTACTTTAAACTTTTTTTAAAATTTAGTAGTTTTTGTGATTTTTTGAGTTGAAATGTTGATCACAAGACCATTACATACATGTGTATTATAAAACAGTGAACATACGTATGAGCATACAGCACACGTATGAGTGGCACAGAGGCCGCATGTGTTTCTCACCTTTAAGGCTCAGTTTCCTATCCCACCTTCAATTTTTTCGTACTTTTTGTAGGAATAGAGCACAAAAAAACTCAATTTAATGGCCAAAATCCATTTTCTCATTTCAACTTTTGAACTTTTATAAAAATTAAAATCAGTTTTTTTAAACTTTGATTCTCTGTTTGGTTATCTGTTTTTTAAGACATGGCCAAAGTGGCAATAAGTTAATAATACAAGAAAGTAGGTGCTATAACCACTAGTTTTTTATTGTTTCCATATCATGTTGGGTTTCCAATTCTCCTCAAACGAATATTGTATATTACTTCTGGATCTATCATCTCGAACTCAATAATGCTTTTCCACCCAGTCCCTGATGATAAAGGGCAATATATTTAGACATAAAATAAATAAAATTCTCAAATAGAAACAAAGCAACTTAATCACTGAGTATTGTGCATTTCCAACCGTTTTGTAGCACTCTTGCCCTTCCTGAAACTTGGGATGTTTTGCATTTCTTTTGATAGAGGAACTTTTAAAATGAGTTTGTAATATCCTAGATGGGACCAATCATTTTTGAAATTTTACCTTAAGCCTTTTAAAACCTTTTTGATCTCAGTAAGAACAAAATTTTATCAAATTATTTTTACCAATGAAAAATTCTCAAATTGATTCCGTCTTTGACAATCCTTGCAAGAATCATCTTGTTTGTGTTTTCTTTACCTACAATTATTCTTATACTGCTAGCTATGTTAACATTAGCTTTAATTGCCTGGTAGGGATGTGGGTGCTTGTATGAAATGTGTGTGGGTTCATAGGTGAAATGTAGAATTTGACACTATTGTTTGACATTTTTGTATGAATCGGAAGGGAATATCTGTATAATTGGTGATGCAGTTTTAATGATTTTAAGAAACTACAAAGTTTGCTAGTATTTTTCAAATCATGGAAACCATCTTAATGAATTTACAGTCAGAAAAATTTTGTCCTGTAACTGTTAAGTTTTTTGATATGAAAGATTGAATGGCAAAAGCACAAGTATTGTAGTGTTGGATTTGAGTTGGAAAATTTTATATACGTTCCAGTAAATTCCAAAAATTCCTTCCGGCATGATTGCTCGCAATATTGATGAATAAATTTCCATCTGTGAAAACATTTGCATTATGAGAGGCTAAAGAACTAGTCCTTTGTATTTTATCTGTAACTCCACACACAATTAATTAGTGAATTTTCTTTATATTTTAGGTTTTGATTTGAGATGATAAAATTGATCTGAAATAGAGAAAGCATTCACCCTTAAATTAACTTCTAAATAAAACATACTCATTTATCTATTAATATCTGGTTTTGCTTTAAAATTAATTAATTTTCATTATTGACTAACTACATTAAGTTTTTTAAAATTTAAATTATTTTAATTTTTGGAACATTTAAACAAAATCTTAGTGAAACCCATATACTAACCCAACCAATTTCCTTGAACCTTTTTTAAAACTTATACTTTGGTGTTTTGAAATATGAAATTCTCATTTTGATATTTGATTTGCAGCTGCAGTCTTTCAGTTTTCTGACGCCAAACTCTGCCCCACCATCTCGAGGCATATCTCCTGCACCTTCGGTTGGTCGATTGAAGAATTCTATCCACATTCCAGGAATTGGCATTGCTGCACAGGTATTTGAAAATGAAGTAGTAGTACCTACACACTTTAGGTTAAAATGATTTTTCAACACTTTTCTCCAAAGAATAAACATTTTATATTTGTGAAAACATCTTTTAAACCATTTGGAATATTTCTTGAACAATAATAAAAATAATCATTAATGATGATGATGATGATGATAAAAAATAATCAATTCCTGAGTGTAATTTTGTGGTTGTAGGGTGAAAGTAAAGTAGATAGGTTTGGTTAAGAAGAAGCAACTTTCACCTTGTGTCCACAGTATTGTTTTGATGTAAAAACAGGTGGATTATTACACACTTGTATTATTACTACACGTTTCACATGACGACTTTTGATGTTTGGTGTTCTGCAAATTATAATATTCATTTTCATCTATAGGTCCACATGATTGATTAATTGTAAATTTTATGTTGAACCTTCATAATTATTTCTTTTATTATTTTATGAATAGAATTTTGAAAATAGCTGAATATCAGTTTGAGGTGTTCAAACATTGACAAATGTGCTGATGACCAAACAAAATTATAAAAATTATATATTTTCAATATTTTAAAGAAGAATTGAATGTTGGGAAAAATCAACAGATATTGTAATGATAATGGTAAAAACAGCTGAGAAATAGCCATGAAACAGGAAGAAGCACATGAAGGATTTGACAAAATTAGTACATTAACATACTTGCTCTCACACACTGACACATCCAGCTGCATAGTACTATACTCCTTTGCACTGCAATAAGCAGTCTAGTGGTGCTACAGAGTGGCAGATTTTCCTGTACTAGTTGGTTGTCTTATTTCTACAGAGTAGGCTATCGTTTTTGTTTTGCCCCACTCTTCTCAGCTGCCATCTAATGGCATGTAAAAGCGTTTTTTCTTTTTTTTTGGGGGGGGGGACCCTAATAGTAGAAATTGAAATTCAACTTTAAGTATATTATAGAAGGGAACTCTCTGGAACAATATGTACATTTTCATTGAAAAATCTGAAACCATTTTTAAGAAAATGTCTTTAGAGCATATCTGAAAATGTGCATTTTAAAGCTTTTTTCAAAACAAATTTATTTTCAAGTTTGTACTCGCAAATGCAATAATGTATACAAATCACTGGTAATGTAAGTATTAACAATGTGTGTATGTGTGAGAGAGATCAAAAAAATTACATCAGCTCTATCCCTACAAAAGGTTTTAAGAAAAAATTTGGAGTCATTTGTGAGAAAATCTCATTAATCTTTTTTAAATATTGCCCATATTTCACTCAAAATTACTTAAAAACTACCAAAAGTTTCAAAAGAAATGATTTAATGATGTTAATGGAATTGTGGAGATCTAATTTATTTGGGGGGAAAATTGCTATTTGGAGTTGTAGGAAGACGCCGAAATAAATTCAGACTTTTGTGAATTTCGAAAATTTTAAGTCGACTGGAAAAATCGGAGATATGCCATATTTATAACCCTATCCTTACAAGAAATTTAAGAAAATAAATGGCTCTACAGCAGCCCTCACATTATTTGTAACGGCTCCGCAATACACTTCTTCATGAACCTGCAAAATAGTATGCAACCAACAAAAAGATTCTCTCAGACCAAGACTAGAACTCAGGTCCATTGTGTTAACTCGCTGTGCGCTTTATTGCGACAGCGTTGCGACAAAGTCGCTCCGGCATACTTGGGCTGACGCTTTAAAATATAATTGTCTCCCATTATTTTCAACCCGCAATTTTGGAAAATGCGATTCGAAATGGAGAGTTCAACGAAAATAAAACCCTTGCTATTCTTTTAAGCAACCCTTGTTTTACCGGTGGGAAAATGTAAAGAAAAAAATGGAGCGGCTTTTGATAATTCTTTTTATTAATTGCATTAATTTCACGCAAAAATTATATTAAATCAGCTAGGGGAAAAAAAAAGGACATGACCTTTTTGAAGAAATGATTTATACTTTCTCGCTACTTGTACGCAGCATAGAGAAAGTATTGTAATGTTGTGGTGAAAAAGGACGAATATTCGAAAGAACAACTCTTTATTGGCCCTAGTGATGAAGAAGTGGATAAATCTTGTTCCTATATATAATAAATAACCCTCTCTAACACGTGGTGTAGTCTGAAATCCACGTTTGTGGGTCTTTGTTACAGAAAAATTGATTGACGGCAAACGTCAGTGCTCAACTCTAGCCCCTAAACCGTTCAGCCGATTTTCTCCAATGATATTCCCAAATCTGTCTGACTGATGTGGCCGCGACCCCTTGAATTTGAAATCGATATTTTAATATAGGAGGAGGGAGGTTCTTTGCATGAAGCCCCTGGGACATTTTCAAAACAATGGGTTCAAATTGTTTGCTTAAATTTTGCTGTCGGATAATGTAAAAGACCGTGAAGAGACTTAGTGCGGGTCTCAATTTTGTGAAAAACCTATGATTTTCCGAAAATAGCAGAAGTTCCATTTTTGGCGTCTTTATACAATTACAATTATGAAGTTAATTTTTTTCTTCTTAATGAAATACGTTCTTCAGAAATAGGCCTTTAAGTAGGGTAATGATCAATTTTTCAAAAATACGATTTTTTGCGTTAATTTTAAGTCAAACAGGCAATTTTTAAATTTTAGACACTTATATTCTCAGAAACAGCTCTAAATATTTTGTTTAATTTTTACTTTCTCTCTACCGCCTATGCAATAGAGAGAAAGTTATGTAATGCTGCGGGGGGAAAACTGGATTTTCGGCAGAAAAACGCATTGCCATGCCCTGGAAACAAAAAAGTGGTTAAATCAAGTTGCTAAATTTAGAAAGAAAAAATCATCTAACCCATACTATAACCTGAATCCATGTTTTGTGGGTCCTTAATACAGAAAATTCGTTTGACGGCAAAACGTGTCCGTGTGTGAACAACGCTAGCGACTAAATCGTTCAGCCGATTTTCTCAAAAATTGATATTCTTCAGTCAACCTGCTTGATGTCGCGGCCCTTGATTTTTTAATAAATTTTGGGGACATATACTTTCCATGACGCTTCGGGAACATTTTCATAAAAAGGCACCAATATTTTTGATTAAATTTTGTTGTTGGATAGTGTGAAGAGAATGTAGCAGGTGGAAATGGAATGGTTTCGGCAGTTCGGCGTCTTCTTACAATTAAAACATTAAAGATAGTTTTTTTCCGCAATGAAATCTGTTTATCAAAGATATATTTTATAATAGGATCATGTACAATTTTTCGAAAATGTTAGTACTTTTCGCGTAATTTGGGGTGAAAATACGGGGCTGAAAGTACATGCTGTTTTAGCACTACTAGTTACAGCTGTGGTGCTAGTAAGGCAGAAATTGCAATATTTCAATATTACGTAACCGTTTTCAATATGCGAGAAAGTATTCCTGTTCTAGAACCACATGTTTTAATTTTTTCTCCAACGATATATGGTAGAATCAGTTAGAAATAATTCTTCAGTTAGCTTCTAATTTCAGAAATACTAATCGTTTTGGATCTATATAATAACAAAACAGTAGTTTTATTGTTGTTGAAATTATAAAATGTTATTCCCTTGATACAGACACAAATCAATATATACATTGCTGATGCTATATTTAACTGAAGAATTATTGTGTGTTTTTAGAAAGGCTCAAATATTTTCTCAAGAGTGGCTCTCTTTGTCAATGAAAATTTGCATGCATGATAATATTTTACACTTCTGTAATATCCTTAGTCATATTTCGATTCTACGATTAGAGTACAGAAAAATTGAGAAAATGTGAAAAAATGTTTTTGCACCATTAGGTAGTATCTGGGATGAGGATGAGGCAGGTCGGATAAGTTAGCCTAGAGTTAATTAATTAGAAAACTAACTAGTGCGAGAATGGTTGTGCCATTCCGTAGCACCACAAGTTTTTTTTTTTTTTTGTTTTCAGTTTTCGAAAATACAAGGTGTTCTCTGAAAATGTGATCAGCACCACTTTGCTATATTTGAGGGGGAAATTTAAAGAAAAAATTCGGAAAGAATAATTGTGTCAAAGTTAGGCAAAATGACTCGTATTTTCAAAAATTTATCCACGATTCTATGATTTAAATTAATTGTATGACTGTGTTTAATACTGTAATTCTCATACACTCGCTGTAAGGTAGTTATTTGTTTTGCTTTGCGTTTTATATTCTTTAAGTAATTACATTTTTTTGTATTTTTGTTATTCACATCTTGCCATGTAACCTGTGAGACATACCTACCGTATTTACCGGAATGAAGACGAGTTTTTTTCCTAAATATCTCAGTCGAAAAACGCGGGGTCGTCTTATATTCGCAGATTAAGCTTAGGCGGTTAGGATTTCAGTTTTTACATTGCCATTCCATGTCACGAAACTCGTAAATGTTGGCGAAACAATAAACTGCGAAGACGGTAAAAATATTGCACGTAAGAATACGTAATTATATTCGCGTTCGTATTCTCGGCATCCACCGCGACTTTGTCGGGCAATTCAGGCCGATTTTTTTTTAATGGGCCGGTAAAGAGAATCTCTAACCGAATGACATTGTATCAAATGAAACGTATAATGTGAAAATGAATGCGGAGAGTTGTGGGTTCGACGGGGCCCCGCGGAATCTCGGTTCGACGCGAATGCGAATCTGCTGTTTGAACAAAAAGGAGGCTTTCAGCAAGTGCGGGACGGATAGAAAATCTGGCGACAGATGGGAATGTTTTTAGATGGCGAATGATGAAAGACTATGAACAACGCAAAATTTAGTCCCCAGAATTTTCAAGAGGGGGCCCAAAAGTCAGGAAATGTCACAGCACGAAAGAGGACCCAATGGGGGAGGGGGGAATTAATACATGTGAAGATGAGGGCAGTGACAAGAGATATGATTATGGTGATATTAAGGAACAAGAAAACGGGAGTTCAGCAATAACACTTAACATTCTCATCAAGGCAATTTTCTAGTCAATAAGACATTTTATAAATTTATCGTGACTAAATAGTAAGGATTAGTTAAACAATTTAAAACTTCTCAGGAGGCCTCTTCAAAATTAGGAGGTCATGTTATATTCAAGACCAACTTATATTCAGGTAAATAAGGCACTTTGAGTAATTTCTTGTATTTCTAAGAGCGTGCCTTGCTAAGAAATAAATAAAATTACTTCATTGATGATCAAAATTGAAATAAACATAGTCCGTAGTGGTTCATTCAAGGGCAGCGGGGGGGGAATGACCTTATTTCAAGGACTACTTTTAAGCTACAATTTGAAATGAATATGAATACAATTGCCAATTTCGATATCAGAGTACAGTACCAAAACTATTTTCAAAAATTAATATTGCCTGTTTGACTTGGCTTGATTTGAAGTCTTACTATTTTAAAGAAAAAAAAGTCTTCAATTTTTGGGAGAGCACTTCATTAAATCCCTGGTACATTTTCAAAATTTTCTTAAAATAGCTCCAATTTTTTTCTTTAAATTTCTTGTCACAATAGGGTGAAATACACTTAGGAAGGTGGGCGTTGATCTGCTTGTCACTGTTAACTCTCAATTTCCAAAAATTACAGGAGATATAATTTTTTCAGTGCGTTTCTAAAACTACAATGTGATGAGATTTTTTTCCAGTGACATTTGTTCTCTATAATTATTAATGTCATATTCATTGTTTCTTATCTTTAATTTATGTTGTGTTTATTGTTTCGAAAGTGTTAGTTTTTGTGCAATTTTTAGTGAAATATGAGTTATAATAAAAAAATGTTAAAAACCAGATATTTTTCAAAAACTGCTCCAATTTTTTTCTTCTGATAATGCTAAGTGCACTGAATAACATGATGTAAACGTGATTTAAATGTATTTATTTGAATTTTACAAAAAGAAAATAATTGTCTTGCATATTACATTTTGTGATTTATGTTTTATGTTTACATATTACAAGTGTTGAAATATAATATGTAAGACAATTATTTTCTTCTGGAAAATATGCTTGTAATCATGACTAGTAAGGAGTGAACTATTTTTTACGTTAATATATATCAATGTGGACAGCAGTAAATCTAAAAGAGTGTTATTTCAACATTTGAAACTAGAATCTGAAGAAGACATTGGAATGAAATGTGTCAAAACATTAAATAGAAGAGAAAATGTTACATAATCATCAATGAAGAAAATGTGAAATGGTTAATTTGTGTAAAATTCTGCTGTTAAAATAATTTGGAGATTTTATTTCGTTCAGGAAAGGAATGTTTACATTACATATTGTAGAAATAACATTTCAAAATACCAAAATTGTATATTGGCAGGTTGAAGTTTCCAAAATTGTGCTTCTTCTATTGCAATTTAATAGAAAAATAAATATTTGTCTTTAAGAAGTTTCAATGGAAGTTACAAAAGAGATGAATTCATTTATTTTAAAAATGTCAATTGCAGGTTATACAATACCAATTTGTTCAATGTACTTCAAAGTGTAGAAATAATATTTAACATAAGAAGTATGTATTCAAGAATAATAGTATATTGTGTTTATTACTTTGTTTCAGCTTCCTAATGGAGAAGTGCAAGTGTGCTATGCTGACGGATCTGTTCTAATTATGAATGCTAGAGGTGGAGAAATTAGGTACTCAGAAAAAGGTGGTCAACCCACTCACTACCTTGAAACTGATCCTGTACCATCCAGTTTAAGGGAGAGATTAGGTAAAGTGCCTTTGATAATGCGGTATCTTATACAGAGAGTTGGTTCATCAGAGGGTGCATCTTTGAAAACTCGTGTTCGTAATGTGAGATGAGGCAAATATATTGTTTGTAAAACTCTGTGACAGTTTGAACGTGATTTATGACATGCAGCCTCTTCAAAATGCTGTAGTTAACGTGTGCATAGTAGGAATAAAGTTTTATAACACTGGAAGTAAAGATTAAATGTTCTTGAGCTCAAGGTGATTAATAAAAAGGATTCATTAAACAATTAAAAAGAGAGAAGTTTAAGATTCGGGGGCTTCATTTGTGTACTTCATTTTCTTGAAAGATTGTGAATCATCTCTCAGCAAATTCTGCCCAAACCTTACTGTGCTTGGTAATTGACATGATTGGCTCCTGTAGCAGTGGTATGAGTTTTTTTTTTAATCCACAGCAAATAATTATCCTTATGTTTCACTGTACTAATGTACAAGAAGTGTTTTATTATTCAGAAACAAATTTATATAGAAATATATATATTTCTTAATTGTTATTCCTAATCATATTGATAATTTTCATAGAAAATTAAATATTAATTTCATATTTAATGAAATAAGCTTTAACCGATCATTCATGAATGTTCTTTGTCATTACTTGAATGATTTATTTTTAACGTACATGAATAAGTAGAAAAAGATATATTTTGTATTATAAGTAGACACAATTTTGAAGAAATTTGAATTTAAAAAAAATTACTTTCCTAGCATATCCAATATTTAGTGTGGTAATAATTGTTGGGATACCTGAAATGAATTCCATCCTGTTGCAAATAAAATTTTCGATAAATTAAAAAAAGTCAAAGTATATTTTTTAATAAAGAACTTTATTCATCAAGTCTTCGTAATATATGTTTATAAAGTGTTCATTTTAAGAATATTTTTTAACAAACTCCATCCCCCTTTACAGCCACATAGTTTCATTCATAAGGCAGTGTCATCCTTTTAACATCGACAATTTTAGTATATTCATATACTTTGAACTAGTACTATACTAACTAATACTATTCAGATAGTCATATACTTTGAAACAGAACTTTCAGTAAAATAATATTTCTTACATTTAAATTAATCTTGATTTTCACTTCTATCCTTACATTTCTCTTTTAAAAACATTAACAAAAAGTGTTCATTCATAGTACACTCCCCATAGTTGTAGAAGAAAATTGGATGTTCAACAAGAGTAATATTGTTCCCACTTCTTTCTATAAATACATCTTATTTAATACTTTTATTCAGCATTATACTGATATAAATGCATAGTCAACCAAAAGCAACAGATTGATGTAAAATACTCTAAAAACAAAACATAACTTGTGAACGAAAATAATATCAACCTCTATTTGGCATTTACCATTATTTTAAGAATTGAATGTGCTTTTTATTATAAAAATATAGCTTATATACATATATATAATGTGCAAAGTTTTCAAGATCAGGCATCAAAACAACAGCTCAGTGAAGGACAGCCCACTTTATCTTTGTAAATTAGAAAGCTTAAAATATTCCAGAAATGCCAAAGAAACCTTCAAGAAAGAAACTTAGGGGCCGATGTTCTGATCCATTGTTGCATGTTCACCTTCTAAGTTATTTTTCATTTTGCTAAGAAAATGAATTCTCTACACTGGAATATTGTTATAAAATGAACTCAAACTTTTACATAATACTTTCAGTAAGGAATGTAATTTTAATTGCATTGGATTACAAGAGGCATCATTGTAATAAATGGCAATACCATTAATTCTAATACTGTACAAAATATGATGTGCACTCAGTTTTATATAGTCCAGTGCTTTTACTATTAAAAATATCAATATGAAAATAGTGAAATTACAAATATTAATAAAATACGGTAACATACAAAAAAATTGTCATAAAATAGACAATACAGTTGGAACAGTTCTACAAAACACACAAGTCAATTTACACATTGTATGGTTTTTACACTCACATCTACTTAATGTAAAAAATTTTATATAAAATTCTTTTTGAAATCTTCCAAAAAATACATGTTCACTAGATGAATCATGACATTCTATATACATATGGAATTAATGTGCTTTCACCATCAACGAATACTTCAGAATCTGTACGCATACTTCAAAAATGTAGTGAACCATTTCAACATTTTCCAAATACAATAATTTTTATTAAAATACCCTGTGCTTAACCTAGATTAAAACAAACTGTTGGAAATAGAATTAGGATGAATTATAAATCTGCGTCACATAAGCTTTGCATTGACGAGCATGAAGTACCATGCTTCAAAGATTAACACTATCTCATGCAAAACAGTGCACTAGTGCTCTTGGCCATTCCGCCAAGATGGTGTTAATCTACAGTGCATGTCAATGCAATGCTTGTGACAGGTCTGAGTGAAATAACCTTAGCACAAGAGCCAATATCTAATTCAAGCAGAGTAGTTTCTGCTCCAGAATGTCAAAGAATCCTCTGTCCTAAGAATCCATTGAACATTCTTTAACATTCAGATGTTGTAGGGAGAGAAAAATAAATATTTTCCTGGAAAAGTGGAGAATAATAATTAACTAGCGATTCCTTTTCCCTTTAATTCATGCACCACAAGAGTTCCACACAATTTTACATCTGCTGCATCTGTGATAAATCGCTAGGTTTTTAGTATTCTTATTATAACTTTTTTCTCAAACAGGAGTATTACTATCGATTAGAAAAGCAAAAATATTTAACTTCGTATTACCACCTTTTCTTTCTTCATAAAAATATTTTACAGTGGGATTTCAATATTTTGTACCACTTATATAATTGTATTATCATGGAGGACGGTTTATTCAGACTAAAGTAGGAATCGCACACCCTAAAGCCATAGCACAATATTAACCCTAACAGAAATCTAGAGAAATCTGTAAAATATGCTTTGTAATATAATAGTATATACATTAGTGTAAGTAGAAATATGCGAGATCATACAAAAATAAGGCATGAAGCTTCATTAGAGATAAGTATAATAATTAATAGAAAGTTTATCTTCCACTTTTTAGATCTCAGAAAAAACATTTACAAACAATCAGTAATAATATGGTGAAAACTAGAATTCACTGCAACACTTTGTAAAGACAACAAAACAAACAAATGTAGCTGCCACTAGTAGTATTATCTTGTATGTAATTAACAATTATTAAGAACACGGAAAATGCAACAGCTGGACCAATCAATGGCAGTATTAGGATTATGGAGACCCCTCAACTTCTCCCTTGAAGATTTCTTTGGCTGTGTCCTAGAAGCGATCTTTAGAACCTGTTACAGACATATCTGGATCTTGCAGATATTGAAGCTCTTGAAGTTCTTGAAACTTTTCATGATCACGGATGTGGGCATAATTGGCTGATAAACACATGAGATAATGAACCTGGAAACAACATTTAGTTTAAATTTTATTCACTTCATTTACCATACTATAAAAGAAAGTGTGTGTTCCTTACCAAACTGAGGATAACCAGCAAGCAAGCTACTGTAGCAAGAATAAACATAACAACTGCATTCTCTACATAGTCTTTACAAAACATCTTAATTTCAATAGTTTCACAAACTTTCATATGTTCGGGTCGTGTATTATTAGGAAACAAAAAATCTGCAAGGGTGAAAATGAACAAAATTTTAAAATACAAGAAAAAAATAAACATGCTAATTGCAAGGCCAAGCCAAACCTCTCGAATATTCAGTATAAATAAAACATTTTTTCCAGTCGAATTACTTACCAAACTGTGTGAAGTCAATACACTGTCTGTCATTTTGCACCCGATTACTTGAGCATAAGCCCCAGAATATCATAAATGTCACAGTTATGATTACCAAAAAACATAGCATAAGTAGCCATGCTATTTGCAAAATATATGTGATGCTCATAAACTGAAAGAAATTAAGACAATTCACAATAAAACACCAATCCTATCCTAACATCACATATCTTTTCATGAAATATCTTAAATACACATAAATTAAGTACAGATGTGTACTCACTACAGCACAAGATATTCTGCCACCAACACGAGCTCCCCAAGCTCTATAAACTTTTTGTCTTGTTGCCCCAGTTGCAAGACATCCTACAAACAAAATCATTAGCCCGAGAGCTCCCATACTAGCTCCTATAATAACAAATGTCATTTGGACCACTTCCATCCTGAAAGAGATCCAATATTGTACTTTAGAATGCATATTACAATATGTTATTCTAAAATACATCAAAAACATTTTTCTTAATCTTACCATACTACATGAAGTTTAAACACCTGATCAAACATTAGAACACTTAATGTAGCACCTCTATACATTGTGCCACAAAATATGCCAACTCCTACAATGCACATTATTGTAGCAATAACTGTGGCATAAGGAATGCGTGTCAAGCAATTGCGACATTGACTACCTGCAAAACAATCAGATCAATACAATAAATTATACACCGCAATTAATAATACAATAACAAAGAATACATTTTCTGTGCTGAGAGGCCTTGTTCCTTTATTTTTGTGTTGAGATACTACCACTGTGCTCTCAAACACTTACCAGATTCTCTATATCTACCCATTCGATAATCTGAATGTAGCGACCGCTCTGAATACCTTCCCATACTATCACGAGACACTGCACGTTTATTCAATGGTCTCATTTGATAAAAATCCATTTCTGCCCTTCTTTTCCCTGGTTTTGGATACGAAGACATTCCGCTAACTATGTAAGCGTTACCTACAATGACTCAGATAAGACAAGCCACGCCTACTGATGTCGATTACTATACGCCAATCCCCCGTCGAGTTAACTTAATAGAGTACACTCCGTGGAGAAGATAATCCGCCAGATACGTACCCATTTTCGAGATAATGTATCGTTGTGTTTCAAACGATTTAAAATTCTGGACAGAAGATTGTCGTCAATGTCTGCACCTTACGGAAAGGTGGTTTATTAAACTTAGACAGTTCGTATATCTGCACCATAACTTTTGTACATTATTATTCACAACCACAAAGTTTTATGACAAGTAGTATACATGTCAAAATAAGAGAAACAAAGAATTTTTCTCAGTTAATATTTACAAACAATAGATGTACGAACGCCATAAGAAGGTGGAACTTCTCACGTCATTGGTCGCGGTGTATTTTCTCTCATTATTTTGAACCAACCGGATTGCGTGAATGAGTTTATGAAAGTTATCGAACTTTTATTCTCATTGGTTGTTTTCTCTCTGATCACTGCACCTTTGATCTTTATAGATTACACTTGAATTTTTTGATGTATTGGCAGGCACATTGTATCAAGAAAGCTTAGGGTGTAGACTCGCTCTTTTCAGTCTGTTCTCTGCTGTTCTCCGGCAGTAGTACGGCGTTCCATACGTTTCTGGAACATTCGTGGGTTTAAACGAGCCTATCGTGGTATATCTTGCAGACACATGTGCTAGAAAGTTCCCAGTTCACCGGCGGATGATTGGTTGGATTGTGAAAGGAGGGTCTATAATTCTGCGTTCCGGCTTTAGCCGTAACAATTCCTTGAGACTTCGTTCTGAGACGACGCCAGTGTGATTAAATTGTTGCGTTTCAGTGTGATTGAAAATGGCAGCGATGTCTGTGATAGGAATTGACTTTGGAAACGAATCTTGTTATGTTGCTGTTGCAAGAGCTGGTGGAATAGAAACTATAGCAAACGACTATAGTTTACGAGCTACTCCGTAAGTATCGATTTCAAACTTATGTACCTAAAATTTGTTTTTGCTTGTGCAGATTAATGTGAACGTCATTCGGATTTTCACACAATTGAAGGTTAACTTTGCTGATGTAGATTTTCGTCTGTTTCTTTCATTGTTTGTACCTGAGCTATTTATGTACTGAATTTTGTGTAGTTAGCATTATCATTAAAGTGCATCAGAAAGTGAAGGTGCATTTCTTCGGTTACCTAATAAGGTTGTACGAGGTTAGTCTTTCACTTGCATCGGTTCAAGGTACCCGTTCTAATATGGTTTTCCATGTGGGTGTTGGCACTCAAATAAGTCGTGAAGGAGGGAACAGTCACCAATTTGGTTATGGTGCGATCCACTTCTGAGGAATGAGTCATCGGTTTAGAAACGATAGTCGCCCTATTAGACGTAGTAGATTAAGGAATTTAATGCCCGCGTCGAATGTGTATTAAATCTAGTTCGCTTCAACCAAAATTTAACGAAATTAAATTACAGATGATAATTCGGGCAATGTGTTCGTAATCGGGCATAATCGGTCGACATGCGTTGTGAAGGACGTTTCGAAACCTTCGTTATAGATTGCTTTGAGCTACCCGTGAACATTTTTACTTGTAATTCATGCCGGTTACCGCCCTGTGTTCATGTTGCGTCAATAGACAAAATTCGGTCGCTATAGCAACATGCGGTTACCGTGAAGAAGGGTAGGAGATTAATGTTTTCTAGCATGTTCGGAAGATCTCTAAATTTGAGTAAAGTTACGTGGCGAAAGTAAATTGGGAACGAGCGCATCTAGCTATTCGGCGTTTCCCAACTGACCAAGTTCACTCGAGATGGCACAGTAGAGGCTTATCTTTCGAGAGATCATAAGCAGACCCCAGAAGTGTCGATCACTATCCACTTGCTATCCTAGTTCTCTAGTGTATCGTGGGTTCTCTGGCAATACCCTACGCGGTATTACATTGGCAGGATAAGGGCAGTTTCCACGTTATAACTCCATAATTGTAGGATTACCTGTTTAACAATATTTTCGATTTCTGCGCGTTGTAGGTCATGCCACACGATCTACATTACATAATCGTCGATCGATTTTGTGAATAATTATGACCCTATACTGTTCACTTTAGTTGTCAATTTTGTGGTTGTCTTAATTGCATCAGATAATTAAAATGAATGTGAGGATTTGAATTGGTGTTAACAAGAATCCCCTCCCCTAAAAAAACTGAACTTTTCAATGAGAAAACTGATATTAAATTCTTAGAAGATTTTTGTAATTTTTAAATTATTTCAAATATAAAGTAAAACTCATTTATATATATATATATATATATATATATATATATATATATATATAATGAGTTTTAATTGAAATGCCCCCTATATTTAAATTAGAAACCCCTATAATCTCAAGAAGCACACATAAATGATTGTGAAAAGTGCACAGTTACAAAATGAAATAAACTGTCAATTACACAAATTGAATTCACGTGCTATTGACAATCCAAATTTCATCACAACATACACAAACAATGCCAAGGCAACTCACAAACCTAAAATAAATTATAGTTCAATACAAATTTGTTTTGCATCTTTTCTATGTGCTAAGCATGCTGTACTTTATTACAGTTTCAAACATAACAACATGAATGGAAATTTGTTATTGGTAAAAGTGAGTTTGAAAGCTTAAATTTGGAAGAGAATAAAATCCAAAAGTACCCTCCTGGTTGTGTGTGTGGGGTGGGGGGTGTTTTTTCCCATCCTGAGTTGAACACTCATGTTCATCAGTTTTATATATATGTATATATGTTTCAATTTTCATGCAAGTTTTTCAGTGGCCCTGAATTATAATTTTCTGTGCAAGTTCCTCAATAAAGTAGCCCCCAGTTTTTTTATGTCTAATTAATGAGACGACTTCAGAAATTTTTATTTGCATTTCAGATCATGTATTGCATTCAGTGGCAAAAATCGTATTTTGGGTGTAGCTGCAAAAAATCAAATGGTTACCAATATGAAAAATACCATATTTGGTTTCAAAAGATTATTGGGGAGGAAGTATAACGACCCTTTTGTGCAGCAAGAACTGAAGTACTTACCATATAGAGTTGTTCAACAACCAAACAATGATATAGGTATTAAGGTAAGTTGTCAGGAAAGAAAGGCAATTCTGAAATGTATTAATGATTATTTTAAATAATAATGAGTGTATTGGGAATGTTCACAGGTTAATTACCTAGATGAGGAGCACATTTTCACCCCTGAACAAATTACTGCTATGCTCTTCACGAAACTGAAGGATACATCTGAAACTGCTCTAAAGACTAAAGTTAATGACTGTGTGATATCTGTAAGTTGAACTTGTGCTGTTGCCATTAATATCTTTAATGCTATTATCACATTTTTTTAACTCTTGTTTTTGGTATAGGTTCCTTCTTATTATACAAATGCAGAGCGTAAAGCTTTGCTTGATGCAGCATCAATTGCTGGCCTTAATGTTTTACGCTTAATGAATGAAACTACAGCAACTGCCCTTGCTTATGGAATTTACAAGCAGGATTTGCCAACACCTGAAGAGAAACCAAGAAATGTAGTGTTTGTTGATTGTGGCCATGCTTCATTGCAGGTGTCTGCTTGTGCATTCCACAAAGGCAAACTTAAGGTATCAAATTCAGTACCTTATGCTTTTTTATTTAAATATTAATTTTGTAAAGTAAAATGATATTTGTGAATTAAGACATTCGTGCAGCCTTTCAATAAATTTTGTGCTAGATGTGCATCAGCTCATGTTAGGATGGGTTCTTGTGACACACAGGGATTGAGCTTAAATATTTTAGATGCCCCCTCATAATGTTGCTCATAGCCACATGCATTACGAAAATATATTTCTGTGGTGCCTTAGTTCTTGAATACAGAATATGTAAAAATTTATTTGGATTAAATAATTTGTTTTCCTTAAGTACCCCAGACACAAGAAGTTTTCAAGATTTGTAAATGCGGTTTGTTATTTTGATTTATTTTCTCTTCAGGGCCTAAAAATAACTTTGCCAAAAAGCGAATGAAAATTCAATGCTGATGCCTAAACCTTCAGGCTGTGCTTTGATTAGTTTCCTTTTGGGATGGAGCCATGGTAGGTTGGGTTGCTGAGGTAGAAAGGCTGAGGATCAAATCTCCATGGGGAGAAATTATTTTGTTTACTTAATTTCTCTAATGGCATCCAGTCTTTGACTTCCTCTTTAATGAGTACTAGATCTTTCCTGATAGTCAAGGGCAAGTGGCAGGTGAGTGTAATTACTGCCACATGTCTTAACCATCTAAGCCTAAAATGATGCAATTGTGACATTGTCTCCACATTATTTGGGCCTGAATAGAATAGTTGACCTTTCTTAAAGTTTGTGATACTCGAGTACTTTTTGGACACTTACACGATTGTTTGAAAATATCTTTATTAAATTAATTCACATTAAATAGTTTTCATTAATGAATGTGATTGTAATTAAAATTTACTGCGCAGATGCTTGCCAGTGCATCAGATCCACATTTTGGTGGAAGAGACATTGACCAGACCTTAGCCAACCACTTCAGCACTGATTTTCAAAATAGATATCGTATTGATCCTCGCTCCAATATGCGTGCTTTCCTTCGACTTTCAACAGAAGTTGAAAAACTTAAAAAACAGATGTCTGCTAATTCAACGAAACTTCCCATGAATATTGAATGCTTTATGGAGGACTTAGATGTTCATGCAGACATGAAGAGGTAAAGAAACTTCTTTCAATTGTTTTATGACACTAAGAAACATTCCTCAGTATTATAATATTTTGTTCATATTACAGGACTGACATGGAAGAAATGTGTTCCCATCTATTTCAACGAGTAGAAAAAACCCTTAAAAGGTGTTTAGAGGATTCAAGTAAGTGTATGTCAACGTCGGTTCTTATTGAATTCGTGCATTTAGTTACAGATTACAATTTTGCAGATATATCTTGTTGTATCTTCTATTTAAATATGCTACTGTACTGTTTGTTGTAGAGCTCAAACTAGAAGAGATTTATGCTGTAGAAATTGTTGGTGGTTCTAGCCGTATACCTGCTATAAAGCATTTAATTGAAGTTGTTTTCGGAAAGCATCCAAGCACTACTCTTAATCAGGATGAAGCTGTTTCCAGGGGTTGTGCCCTACAGTGTGCTATGCTTTCTCCAGCAATTCGGGTTCGAGAATTCAATGTGACTGACATTCAAAATTATCCCATAAAATTGGTGTGGGATGCAACAATGGGTGAAGACGGGTGAGTGAAATTTATATATATAGATATAGGTATATCATTTCCCCCCCCCTTATCTTTTATTTTTAAATCATCCCTTTTGACTGCATTTTAAATTTCAAGGTGTCAGTGTTAATTCGAAAATGAATCATTGTGAAGTCATTATTTTAAAAGTGTACATTGTTTATACCCATAATTTATGAATAGAGATGTAGATAAATATATAATAATGTATTGACAATCTTCCCTTGCAATTTAGAAAATACTTTTTCACACAATTTAGTTAAGTATTAGTGATGGCTGGTTTTCTAACACTGGGATACAAAAAAAACGTTGTTACAGTTTTCACAAAATATTGAAAATTCATGATCTAGAGTTTAGATGTTAAGGTTACGACAATACCAGGGAGGCATCTTGCACATCGTATCCAACTTCACCCAATAAGCTTCACACACTAGTTTGGATTGCAATATTTGCAGGAATTTTAAATGCAGGCAAAATTATCGCCTCATTACAGACATTGAAACGGGTTTATGAAATATGGCATCTTGCACACATTTGTGTTATTTTTGGAGGGTTACTGCTGAAAGTTGTCCACTTTCAAAGTGTTTCTCAACACCTCGTGCACTCCATGTAACATGGTGACCAGAGTCTGATCTGGCTTTTCAAAAAAGTGCCCATGCTGTGGTTCCATGATTCATGACGTAAACTGGTGTTGCGCATAGCGAGCAAAAATCATTTCACCGGGGGAACTCTTCCATGTATTTCCACCGTGACAATACCCAAGAGAAAGGGGGAGGATTTATTTCATTTGCATTAATTTCAAGTTATTAGTACAAGTTGCAAGTAAAATTATTCAAATTAATATGATTACTACAATTTGCTAAAATTTGGGCTTTTTCAGAAAAAAATTGTTTGAATTTGTTAACTCATGATAACAATGTTATCCTACTCCTAGTAATTTAATTGATATTGGTTTCTCTTTCACTGATATTTAACTTGTTTTCAGCTTCTGATTTCTTTTTTTTTCCTTGCAATTGCATTGTGTACTTTTAATTGGCTAAAGTAACTCAGTGCTGATATGCTAATTTTTCTGTTAAATTCATTTGTTACCAGTTATGGTTTGATTGCAATTTTGAGTAGATTTATAATAAATAACTTCTATTACTGTCTACAAACACAACTTCTGACCAATGTTTCCTTACTTTATAATTTGTCAAGTTTCATTCTTCAATTTACTGTATATATTACTCTTACGGTTTCCTCACCTATGCTATTCAATTTTCCATATGAAGAAAATAATATCTTCCAACCCTCTGGTTTGCAGACTACTCTCTCCTTTTGTGATTTAATTTTTTTAGTGCTTTAAGCATGTTCCTTCTTACTTTATTTTAATTATCTGATGGAATTAATTCTTCATTCTTATCGTCCTTGTATTCTGTACTTAATAAAAATTACTTTCTGAGAGGAAAAGAATATACAACTTTGTGCAATTTGGAACAAGTTCAATTCTGTTGAATTGAATGCAAGTGATACTTCTTAGATTGAGACATTGAAAAATACCAAAAAGGTGAAATTGTCATCAAGTCTGCTTGTTAATTACGACTCTGTGCAATTGTGGAAACCTCCATCTCTTTATCATTAGACTAACATCCATTGAAGATCAGCTGAAAACTAATAATGGTTATGTTGTAACAAACTTCTATATACTTAAATAAAATGTCAGAAAATCACATATCACCTATAGTGATTTACCTAATAACACACACTAACAGCATCTCCCAAGGTTTAATCTTGCTCTTTTGCCAGCAACTTAGTATGAATAAGCAAAGGGGTTTAGAGTTTTATCAGCAGAGCGCTGCTGTGATGCATTTATGTCCCATGATATCAAAATATTGCGCAATTAAAAGTATCCACACAGTTTATGTATCAACATTAAAAGAATAAGACAGTAATCTGATATAAGAAAGTAAGATCTTGTAAACTTTTATTACTCTAATTTTATCAGATATTAAAATTTTATGGAGAAATTGTATTTGAAGACTTTTGGAAAGACTGCTTTTTATTTTATATTTTAAAATTTTTGTTCTCTTTAAATGCATAGTTCATTAATTAAAAATGGTGAGATAAAAAGATTGAAGGTATTAGGTACAACAAAATATTAATCATTTTTTACTGCTTAATATTAATACTTCAATTATTAATTCTTTTAATTTATTTCTTAATTTAGTGAAATGGAAGTGTTTTCTCAAAATCACCCGGTACCGTTTTCCAAAATGCTCACTTTTTTCCGACGGGAACCGTTCTCCATGAAGGCATATTATTCAAGTTACATTCCATATCCAGATCCTTACATTGGTGAGTTTTCAGCGTAGTGTAGGAATCTGTTACATACTGTTGGATCCTATGTTCAAATCTAATTCCCCAATATCTTTCAGGCCAGTTCATTATAAAGGATGTAAAACCTACTCCTGAGGGGGAGAGTCAGAAGGTGAAAATAAAAGTGCGGGTGAACATTCATGGCATATTAACAGTTAGTCAGGCAACTCTAATGGAGAAGAAAGAACCTGGTGACCAGGAGATGGAGGAGAGCCCAGAGGCCATGGAGACAGATCAGAAAGCAACTGGCAATGGAGAGAGTTCAGCAGAGAGCCAACAGCAAAACGAAGGCCAACAACAGCAGAACCACAACAGTGCAGAGGTGAGGGGAGGGAGGCGCAAAAGGCCTTGGTTTGACCGGGAGCATCTGTTAGCATGGTTTTATTCGGTAGGTGTGTCCATCTCACACGATTGTGCACCAATTTTTAGATAGGATGGAAGGCAACAGACACTTGGAATTCTAAGTAAGGTATTTCTGTTGTGATTATTGAAATCTGGTTGTAAATTGTGCAATAATAAGGTGCATAATAATAATGGGAGTAATTGGCATTGTATTTCTTGTTTTTTCATTCTTCTGTATTGTTTTGTTAATATTGTCTGTTCGTCTAACCATCCTTCCAAATCACACAATTTTTCCTTCAAAAATTCTCATTTTAAAACCTTGCATTTCTGAAGTTGTACATATTGCTGCTGATTGTAGATGATTAATTAATTGTTTTTAATATTCAGATTAATACAAAACTTTTGTAATGACTGTTGTATATATTGGTTACTGGGCCGAGATTTTGTGTGTCATGCTAGTAAATGATTCGAATAGGATATTCTCCGATACCTATATTATCTAGTTTTGACATTCTCATAAAAGATGAGTCGCATGTACCTTATTCAAAGGAGACTTTGTAAGTGCCTGGTTGCTGCCTTATGTTAAATACTTACTTTGTTGTTTTAAAGAACGTGACATTTACTTGGATTGCTTACATACTTTAAAAAGTAATAATTTTTACTGTTAATACAAGTGAATTATGAATATACAATTGAAGTTCATTTTATGTTCTGTTAAATTTAGAGTTTATATGTATCTTTCGTATAATGTTTTTTATCCCTACATTTTTTTTTCCTAGTTCACTTTGGTTGTTGTTTTCTCTCTCTTCTCAATACCGTATATACCTGAATAATCCCTGCATATTTTTAAAAAACTTGTTAGTTGAAGATGGAAGAGTGTTCGTGTTGTTGATGTGATCTTAAAGCATGTTGCACATAGTGTCATGGGTTACTAGGAAGTGTTTATTGAGGGCCCCTGCACACGAGCGTTGCATTGCTGCATGTCACTTATCCCTGATGGCATCAGCTGTGTTGATGCTTGTGCAAACAAATTACTGAACATGCATTGTAAATTAACACTGTATCTTATGCAAAACGGCACACAATCACTCTTGGCGATGTGTGCTGTACCCACAGATCAAGCTACAACATAAGTCAATGTGATGGGAAATTTCTAGCTTTCAATACAAGAGTGTTGCTAGGTGACTCACGTTGGCTACAATGGTTTTGTGCTAAACGCCAAAAGCGCCTTTGTGTCGCTTCACATAAGATAGTGTTAATTTCTGATGCACATTGAGTAACTCGTCTGTACAGGAATTGATGTATATCAACACACCTGACACCAGCGGGATACAGTAATGTTCACCAGTCACACTATTAATCATGGCTCTGCAAATTTGCATGGGAGATCTTTCATCGTGAAAGAAAAATTGCATGTGATAGAAGCAGAACAAATTGGTAACTGCGAAGCAGATAAATAGTATAATGAAGACAAAAGTTGCTTTTGTGATTGGCGTAAGAACAAAACGCGACTTGGTGATTTTTCTTTCATTGCAGATGCGGGATAGTTTCAACACTGACAATGTAGTAAATTAATAAACAATTTTTTTGCAATAAAAGTGGGGAGGAAGGTTGTTTTTGTTGTTCCCTTCTTCTTCTTCTTTTTCCCCTTTATTTCTTTTTTATTCTTGGTTTTTTACTTGGAATATATGCGGTATTATCTTCTATAGTTATTTCTTTTCTTTTACTGTCTCAATAATTGATATTTGACCTATTAAAAGCATTTTACGTTAACTAATTTCTTTTTAATGCTCTGAAAGTTTTCTTAGTCTTCCTTCTTCAAAAGTGTTCTTTGCTCATTTTCCACGCAAATTGTAAATTGCTTAAGTGATTTCTAACTTATTATAGATTTGTGCCAAACTGATATTAATGATATTCAGTACCTCATGTGCCTTTATGATGGCTATTTTTGGCTAGCAAAATGATAATTTTGTTTTATTCTGGTTTTTGTTTTGTTAATTGGGCTGTAAATCTTGGTAGTTAATCCATAATACCTCTGTTGATTGTGTAACTCTTTCCTGCTTTATTTCATAAACTGGAGGTGCTTGTTTTTTATTCAGTCTTTGCCTTCATATTCTGTTCTTGGATGTTACTTCAGCAGCAGTATGGAACAACAGTATGCTAGGCATTCATTGCAACAATTCTGTCTGTCATGGATATTATTCATTTTGCAGGATGAACAACAAGTGCCTGAAAGTCAGAGTGGCAGTGATAAAAAGGATGGAACAAAAAAGAAAAAATCATCTGTAAAAGTCGTGGAGCTGCCTATTGAGGCATACACTCATGGATTCTCACAAGTGGATCTTAATAACTACATTGAGCAAGAAGTAAGCTGTAAATTTAATTTGTGAATGTTTGTTGTTTTTAAGCAGAAAAGTATTATTTATATTACTCTTTTCTAGTGTAAAATGATTGCAAATGATAAGCAAGAAAAGGAACGTATTGATGCTCGTAATGCATTAGAAGAATATGTTTATGAATTAAGAGGAAAACTAAGTGCTGAGGAAGAATTAGCTACTTTTGTTAATGAAAATGATCGAACTTCTCTTTGCCGACAACTTGATAATATGGAAAATTGGTTGTACGAGGAAGGTGAAGATTGTCAGAGACAAGTATATGTTGACAAATTGAATTCTCTTAAGGTAAAAATTTGTAAACTAGTTTGGTCACTTCTCTACTCTAAGCTGCCTGTCCTATATTGTCTATTTTACCTTATTCCTAGATGATGTAAATTTGTAATGTTTACAGAGCCTTGGTGAACCGATAAAGTCACGGCGAGTGGAGTACGAACAAAGAGAGGGAGTTCTCGAAGAATTTAGCCTGTCCTTGCAATTAACACAGAAAGCGGTAGACCAGTACCGAAATGGGGAAGAGCGTTTTTCACATATACCTGACACTGATATGCAGCGTGTTCAACAGTCGGTTGAACAAAGTTACAAATGGCTCGAAGATCAAAGATCCGTGTTAGCTGGCACGCCTCGAACACAAAACCCTCCTATTACATTGGCACAGATTAGGCAAGAGAAGCAGGTGTGTGTGTGTGTCAATATTTTTTGTTGCAATTTAAAACTGTAATTTTAAATGATTGAAATTTTACAGTTTACTCACTTGTTTTTGATTTACAGAGCTTTGAGAGCACTGTGAATCCTATTCTCAATAAGCCAAAACCAAAAGCAGATCCTCCTCCACAGCAGAATAAGGATGGAGAAGAAAAAAACGGGCAAGGGGACGCAAGTCCGAAGACAAATCAAGGAAACCCAGATGAGAAAATGGATGTAGAATAACTTATTGTAAAAACTATTAATAATTGATAATTCTGTTAGCCTAAAACCACTCCTGGAGAAAGAAACCCTAAGTAAACTGTTGGTGTGCATGTGATGGCCATTCATGAATGAGGAAGTGAATTTTTGAGGTGTGGACTATCATGATAGTAAAGGAGAAACATGATTTCTGGTTTGCACGCTGAATAATATTGCTATGAAAATAGTAATTTCACTTGAGCTGAACTTAACTTTGACAAAATTCGTAATGCTCACATTTAGGGTAGAATGGTGTATATTTTTCATTCCGAGGAAACTGCTTATTGAATATGACTTGGATATTCATTTTTGTTTTCCTTGTAAAATTGCTTGTCCTGGAACAAGTTTATATAAAGTTTATACAAGTTAACTGTTAGTGGAAGTCCTCATTTTGGTTTATTTTAAAGCAACAATGCAATTATTGCTTAAATCAATTTTGTAAGATTCCGCCGCAGTATTAACAATTCATCTTGAAGCAATGTTTTTACCATTTACTGTAAATTATTGTTAATGCAAAATCAATCGCTGTGAGGCACTCTGTTTTTGAGATTTCATAGTGTAAACAATGAATACTGATTCACTTTTCCAAAATCATGTGTTGGAATGTCGTCTCGTTAGTTATTTATCTAGCTTAAATAAAGTGAAATGAGGCCTCGAATTTTTGTTTACTGAATTGTTTGGTCTCAACTGTGAGGTATGTGTAATATTGTATATAAGTATTGATGTGATGTGAAGGAAAAAAACAACCCATTCTGAAAAATTTTGAGTGGGGTTGGTGGTTTTGTGAGGAGCTTGTACGAAAGTGTCATTCCGTTGTCTCAAAGCTGGTGTGAGATTTTGCTGCTTACATTGCTTGGAGAAAATAATTGTAAGTTAGTTTATGTAGTTATATAATTTTGGCACATTCTTGCAGATAATTGTTGATAGTCTCACTGCCACCAATAGTTCTGGTGTATCACTCAATTGACTTAGATACACCCAATGCCTTACTTTGCATTCTGTTGCATTTTTCTTTTATTAATAAAAATTGCTGTAGATTTTGCAATGAACTGTTGGCACAGTACTAATACTTATATGCAGAAACATTTTGAGGAAGGAGCAGATCATACCATCATAGAAAATCTACGCTTGTGCATTTATTGTTATCTGGTTCCAAACTAAACTGTTTAGTGTAAAAATTCTGAAATTGAGAACAAAAGTTACTTATCTGACTTTTTCAGTGTTTAACTTCAATGCATTGTTTGTTCCTAATTGTGTAGAGATGTTTCAAAGTACCAGCTCTGTAAAAGTTCTCTTCATTCTCTGTCTTAAGTTATTGTGTTTTATTTGTACGTACATTTTTTGTGAAACAAAACAATTTTTCCCGAGAATGTTTTTTAATCAATGTATTAAAGACCTGCTGTTACCTGAAATGCCTCAACCAACAAGGAATGACAATGAAAGTTCCGAAGAAAGCCAATTGATAACTTTGCCATTTAGGTCAAGTCCCAATTACATCAAGAGACAAAATTGTTTTTTCAGGTGTGATAGTTTCATGATATTCTTATAAGAGATTTGTTTGTTATTGCAGAGTTAATTTCTTTGAAGACTGGGAAAGTAGAAAATTATTACGTCAGCTTTTCAATTTTGATTTTCAATGGAATAGAATACGTTACGTATTAGGTAATGCCAAATTTGTAGTAGAATATATTTCGTTAATCTGTTTGAAGTGTTTCATCTCTGAAATCTCTCCAATGAAAAATTTGCAGAGTAAAAATTAGTAACTCCTTGGATATGATAATTAAATTTTAAGACTTTAAAGCTTTTGTTAGAGATGATTTTTGATTGGTTCAACAATTTAGCAAATTAGTTAATTTGTTTTCGGATCTGCAGGGGGTGTACTAAATATGTTGCATTGGTGTGAATATTCTTCTCAATTTTCACAAATTTCATAAGTATGTTAAGATGGGATAATGTTCAGTTAGATGGTTTGAAAAACTTATGAAAATCCTAGTCATGAATGAATTGTAGGACTGAGGAAACTGCATGTTTAAGTTTCAAATGTTCAGAGCTTTTCCAAATTGAATACTTTATACTGACGGTGTCACATACTTGTGTGTTCATTTGTTACTATTGTATATTTTTTTTAAATCTGTGGATCTAATTGCAATGAAATTAATCATAAATATCTTTCCAAATTTGCAAAAGATGTTAAATTATTGTTCACAGATTCAAGAATTCTTTAGAAAGTTCAACAAATGTGTGGGCAGTGACACTGCTCTGTAAATAGGTTCCAAAGTATAGCTTTTGAGCTTAAAATGCTGCTCATTAAGGCCATATTTTTTGTTGGTAGACCAAAGAAGGAAATAACAAAATAGTTCTAAAGGCCAATGGCTTCTTAAGGATTTTTTAAGTTTGTGGTTGAAGGTAGTTATTCCAACAGATCCTTAGACACCACGCATTGAATAATTGTGCAAATTTGATGGGAAAGTAGATCAGGGGCCTATCTGTGAACACATGTGCCCCTCACCTTTTTTTTATTTTTTATCTTCTGACCCTAGTCTCCCACCCTTCCTCTTCTCATTTGTATGTGCATGAAATAACGATTCGGTTTATGAATTCTTGCGCTGTCTCCAAAAATATAATTTTACGTATATTAGTTACATTAAATACATTTTAAGTTACGAAATATGTTATGCATATTTTCCGATCATGGGGGCCCCAAGAACTGCTTATTTTGCTTGTAAGTAAACGGACCCTGAAAGCTAATCAATTTGAAAATATTCATTTTTCATCTTCCCCCCACACCACCCTACCCTCATGCCCCTTATTCATTTGACTTGTAAAACCCTCGAATGTGATAATCTTTTATGGCAATTAATTCTCCAGTAGTAGGGGCCATCCTGTTGCATATTTTGTATGGCAGAATATCAATGCTAGTGAACATTTTTGTAAAGTAATATGGGGAAAAATGTCAGTATAAATACTGGAAGTCTGATAATTACGAAGAATCCAGACAGTGAATAGCATATTTTTCTTTCACTTTTCCTTATGCTGCGTGTGTTGTCAGCTATATAATTGAGTACCTGCTTCAAAGAAGGTCTAAAATTCAATCTGGCGATTGTTGATTAAAAGTAGTCGTGTATTCGCAGGAATCGTTAAGTAGTTCGTATCGTTGGTTTTCCAGTGTGATTGCGAGTGGAGGCATAAAAAGCCGCTGTGCTGTTTGGTTAATAGTAGCTAGCGCAATAAATAGTATTAAATTATATCCGTTGGACTCTGCACCGGAGATAAATCTTTATCGGTTGGTTCAGATTCGGTTGTGCGAATGGCTTATGCAACACCCGTTGCAAGGGTTCAGGAGGAGTGCGTTTCGTATGGTAACGTACAAATGTATTGGGAGATAATATTTCTTTTTAAAGTTGTATGTGTTCGAACATACGGTATGATATGTAACAGAAACTAGATTGTTCGTTACAAACAAAAGTTGATGTAATTCGAGATTTGCGAAGAATTGGCGTATTGCCAGACATCGAAACAGGTTGCGAGAACAAATGGTGATATATTTGTATCGTGGACCCACGCCAATTGAGTTCGAAACTCGCAGCTATACACATGATGCTTAAAAATTGAAGTATTCAAATGATGTATTCCTACAAATTGGAAAGAGTCCGGTGTCCCTTATGTGTATTGTCACTGATTTACAATACGAGAAAGATTACCTAACTTTTTACTGTGCCTTATACAGATGTATTTACGTAGTGTAGGGTAAGTAATGTAATGCTGCGGTGAATTCGTATTTCAGCGGGAATACACATATCGGGGTCCCCTGATATCGTTGGTTTTTTTCTTTTCTTCTTCAAAACATCCGTCATATTGGAGTACAGCCAAATGGTCCTACTTTCAGACCCGGCGGATGATGGGTGGGTAGGTATACCCCCACGAAAAATTCCGTTTTAATTTTTAAATTTGTTGCGTCTGCACAGACGCAACGCGTCTCCTAACTCCTTAAGTAGCGTTGTGCACACCGTGGAGTAATCCTCCGTTATTACGAAATTAACGAAGATTCTCGGTATTGCCTCGACTCAAAACGTAATGTGAGATCAATTATGTTACAAAATCGGCTCAATAATATTGCGATTTTACATGTTTGTAGCGACTTGACCGACAAAATCAACTTTCAAGGATTGTTAAACGAGTTGACTTAAAACATACAAAGAACAGCGCTGTTTTTGCATTGCAGAAATTAACTGCTGGAGTTACATAAAATAATTGACAATGAAAAACATTGCTTTGTAATTTTCCCGTCATGCTCATTTTCGTTAAGGGAACCCACGTGGGTCATCGTCGGCCCTACCTTTATAAACTTTACAAAGAACCCTAGTGCATTTTTTAGTCGTGCCAGGCCTATTCTGAAGACCTCTTGATAGATCAAAGATAAAAATGTGTTTGTCTGCGGTACAGGTTTTTAACAGGCACTAAGTTAAAATTAATTCATGCAGTATGCCCTCGCAAGCTTGTGCGTTTTCAAAAAGGAAAGAGCCTACTAAGTGAAAAAAAAAAATCGAATATGTTGTATTTTGGTCGTAGCCATAATAGTGCGAAAGACATTTAGGGAGTGCTGCAGAGAGTGTATGTGTGTGAATGTGCCTTACAAACATCGTGAAGTGGCTTTAGTGTGTGACTGATTTTGAGTTTATACCTTGTCCAGTCGGTTTTTATTTTAAGGTCAAAAGACTGCTTCGAAATATAGACCAGCACATTTTCTGAAGAATGATTTATTGTAACCATCCGAGTCAGCAATAACTACAGAGAAATTAAGGTTAAAATTTGGCACAGAATTATCCACTATTTGGAGAGACATAATGGCAATTGTGATTTCTCCCTGAAGTGTACGGGACAAATTAAGTGACACGTTGACATACATAATGTTTATTTAAAAGTAGCTCACCACGTTCTGCCATATAGAAACTCATTTTTCATGAACAGATTACCCAAAATCTTTGGTTGAACTTCCACAGTCTCAAGTTAGCAATTTGGCAGGAGCTCACTCATATGGACCATTTGTTTTCAATGGTTTTCCCACTGGTTCCGGTGGGGAAATCAATAGCGTCATATCAGTCGAAGTTGTCCGCCACAAAAGCGTCTCCATAGAAAGCTTCTGTGCCCGTTGTTGGTGGTATGTGGGCGCTCCAATCAGGATGGCGCAGCATGTACTTCGAATCCTTGTCAAACATGTTCATGCTATCGTCGGAATTGTGAGGATAAGGGAAAATGTCTGCTGACTTGTCTTCTCGCCTGTCATCTCATCGCGAGAAGACTTCTAACCAGTGGGTTAGCAGCCCCCAAATCTTTGTCAGACTTATTTAATTTCTCCTTGATGTTAAAATAAAATATACGAAATATTACATTCAATTGCATGACCAATATAGCCCACTACTTGTGCGTGTGTAACTTCCGCCGTGTTTTGCTGCGTTTCCATTTCCCGCCCTGGGACTGCCAGTCCCCGCTGATTGCAGCGAAGTATGAGTATAGTTGATTTCGCTTCCCTCGCTGTTTATGTGTCTCAATATTGGGTATCTAAAGGCTACAGAAAAGTGTGTACCTCCGTTTTGCGCAATGTTTACATGCTTTTGTAAGCTCTGGCGGACGTATGGCATGATTGAGGTGTTGTATATTGTATTTTCCTGTTTGTTTTTAGCTATCTCGCTATGGAGTAGAAAAAAAGTTATGTAATGCTGCGCAAAATAACGGCGAATTTTCGGCAGAGAAACTTATTGCAGGACCCTAGTAACGAAAACGTGGATAAATCTAGTTGCTACATTTAGATATAAAAATCCTCTAACACATGGTGTAGCCAGAATCGTTGTTTTGTGGGTCCTTGAAACCGAACAACCAAATGGCGGCAAAACGTATCTGCCCGTTTGTCCGTTTGTGAACATGCTAGGGTCTAAACCGATCAGCCGATGTTCTCCAAAATCGATATTCCCCAATCGATCTTGTTGATTGGCCCTTGAGTTTTAAACCGATATTTTAATTTTTGGCAGTACTTCGAATGACGCCCCTGGGACATTCTCAATATTTTTTTATGGCGCCATAGTTTTTGGTTAAATTTCATTATTGGATAGTGGAAGGGCGTTTAAGAGAATGGTGCTGGTCTCATTTCCGTCGACAAGCATAATTTTTCGAAAAATGTAAAAGTTCAAATTTTTTCGGAGTCTTCCTAAAACTAAAATATTGAGGACAGAAATTTTTCCTGAAATGTGTTCCTTAAAGATATATTTTCAAATAAGGTCATGTACAATATTTGAAAAATCTGAGTATTTTTCACGTAATTGTGCGTGAAAGTACGTACTGTTTTAGCACCACTAGTTCCTGTTTAGAATGGATACGAATAGTAATTCTATTCAATATTTTAAAACTGTGAAATTTAGAATCTTAACTCTTCAAGAAGTGCTATATAAATGCTAGCGGTAGACCTATGCCGGTACTGAACATATCGCAATTTATTTTCTATTTTTGCATGGAGTCCCCCCTCCCCCATTAATTAAAGGTACCAGCCGCCATTGCCTCTAACGGATGGACTGGGAAGACTTGCGTGATCTGGGTCTTTTGCTATGTTCACATACACTCTCGTTATTACCCCAAGCTCAAATTTCTCTACCCTAATGCGTGTTGGAGCAATTTTTTTCGACAGCTTTATCGTCTATCTGCCTCTAGGACATTTTCTACTGTGAAGGTAGGCAAATAAGATACTGCGTATCATTAACAGTATTGTAATGACGTAAAATATAAAAGTGAATAAAATAAGTAAATTTAAATAATGAACAAAATAAAGTAAATACATATCAATACTTATATACAATATTACATATACCCCACTGCTGAGAACAAACGATTCAGTAAACAAAAATTCGAGGTCTTATTTCATTTCACGAGATATATAACTAATTATATAGCATTTCAGCACATTTTTTGAACCAGTGAATTAAAAAAGGAGGCGAGAGTACCCCACAGACATTGATTTTACATTAACAATAATGTTATAGCATACAATTCAGTATATTTCACATGGCTTTCAAACTATTAATTGCCCTTTCCGCATAAATACACATTCGTGGTTTTGGCATAGGGAAGAAGTATGGTAATGATAAAACATTGGTTCAAGGTGAATAGCTCATTCTGCATCGGAATCTGACAAAATTGATATAAGCAATAAGTGCATTGTTGCTTTAAAGTGAACAAAAATGAGGACTTTCACTAACTTAACTTATATAAACGTGTTTCAGGAAACCAATTGTACAAGGAAAGAAAAACATGCCATTCCACCCTAAATGTGAGCATTACAAATTTTGTCAAAGTTATGTTCATCTCAACTAAAATAACTATTTTCAAAAAATGTACATGATATGCATTAAAGAATTATTTTCATATTATTCAGCAAGAAATCCAGAAAAAAAGTTTCTCCTTTATTACCATCTTGATAGTCCACGCCACAAAAGTTCACTTGCTCATTCATCAATGGCCGTGCACACTAATAATCAGTAAAGACGAAAGCCGCGCCGGAATTCATCTCTCCCCTCAGCCAGGGCGGCAGCAGTTTCGGACCATACTCTGGGCAGCAGAGGCGGCCGTCTTCAACCTTGGAAAAAATACCAAGTCTTAGGACTCGGAGTCAGCGACGGCCATTCACGCCACTGCCCGCTGTTGCCAGCGTGTCGTTGTCAAAGCAATGTGTTCTTTTGAGAGCAATTATATACATACATTATACAGTTGTAAATTATGTCTCAATGAGTAGGTAGGTATACGATCCTTAACCAATTTAACCAGACAAATGGTTTGCTGCGCGATCATTGCCAATAGTGATTTCAGTAACAATTACGAATAATTAATTGTTGGTTGTATGAGTTTCTTCACTTCAGAGGAAAGGTTACGCGAGCTGCCCAGGGGATTTTTTAACAACATCGCCTCGAGCGTATAAAATTTTGTAGTAATGTAACTGCAGTGACAGTGCGGAAATTGGTTGAATATTTTGTTTATTTCAAATACTAAATATGTTTATATCTTTTGAATCTTACGCGATAGAAACTTTTTATAATTTTCGAAATCACCGTGATCGTTTTCTTTGAAATCACCTACTTTCATCCTGGAGGTAAGAATTTCTTTTTTGTTTCCTAGTGTTATTTAAACACTTCATATAATTATCATCCTTAATTTGGCCGTTATATAGTAATGCGTTGAAGGGCTTTATGCGATCAGGAGGTATGTGCACAGGTGTTCTGAGGGTCACGCACTCAGACCGACTGAGGTGGCTCAGGGCATCAACTGATGTCACTGCAGTTCCTCTGACCGATAGATCCTAGGGTTTGAGTCACGACGGTGACAGGATTTCGAATCCTGTTAGACAACTCGGGCGAATTCACTCTCTGTCTGGAGGAGAATTCTAGCGGCCGGCTGCTCCGATCGGTAGTTTTCCATGGTTTCTCCGATCAACACCAGCGAATGCCGGAGCAGCAACCTAACAAACGGACCACTGGTCGCGCATGACTTTCCTTTCTCTTCGGGCCCCTTCGCACGTCGCGACGGCGGTGCGCTTCCGAGCGCCGCGGCTGGTAGTAGAGCATTGGTTTGAAGGAGACCTTCCCACGTGCAGCGGGCGGGCGCTGCTGCAGCAGGGAGCGGAGCTCTCGCTACGCGAGGCGGAGGAGGGCGTTCACGCAACCGCTGGCAGAACACAGCTTTAATGGGAGCCTTCCCACTGTGCCGCCGGTCGCTGCGTTTTATCTGCTGCGGTCCGTTTGTTCGTCGTCGCCGGAGGGTCGGCGAAACCTATCCCTGCAGAACCCACCCTCTTCCACGGCGGGCGGTCGTGGCTGCGGCGTCGGAAGGGCTCTGCTGCTTGACGGAAGCGCGCCGCCGTCGCGACGTGGGAAGGCGCCCTAACTTTTCATATTTTCATCCCTTACTTACATACACTTACTTTTTTACATGCTTTCCCCTACCACACACGTCGGGCGCCAAGAGCTTGGTTCCGGTTGGGGCTGTGCCCGCTGGTGGGAGGAGTAGCAGTTTCGGGAAACCCCACTAGCCAACGTGTAGGTCAGCGCCGGATCACACACTCTTCGCCGCCGCCTCCTGATGAAAATGCGTACTACACTTACGGGACTAATGCTCTAAGCTGTTGACGCGCCGGGAAACACGAAATAATCTGACGCACACTAGGAGTTATGTTCCTGCCAAACACATGATCATAATGATTGACAAAAACAGGAACATATGTCACACGTGCAAAACTGCAATATGATATTGTCCACTGTACAATTAACATAACTTAGACCACGTAATATGAAATTGTCCACTGTACAATTAACCTAACTTAGACCACGTAAGTTGAATATAACCGCCGGCTACTCTGATGGCAGATTTCGTGGTTTGTATGTTTCTTGGCAAAATGTGGTATTTAATCCCTAGAAATGTGAAACTTTTATGGGATTCTGAGACATACTGAATAATAAAAGCAAATTATAAATGTCACAAAACAATTAAGTATTGATTTCATTAATATTTGTATAAGCAATAGGACCTTGATTTTTACTATACTCATAAATAACAATCGGTAGTTTGATTACTCTGATCACGGCACCTCGATCATTGATCTCCTTTGAATAATCATCAACCCTTAAGAATTGGATACGGACTTCATTGCACACCTTAGATGCTGAGCCTGTTACGTCTGGTGGTAATGTTTTGTTGGAGGTGTACTCGCGATTGCGATATTACGTTGCAATATCGCAATCGTGCTCCCTTCTCATTAGTAGGGAGGGAGGCGTTTAATTTGCAAGATGACTTTGGTTAGCACGCCGCGGGAGAGGCTAATTGTAACTTCGTTGGGGTCGTGCGTGACGCGACAGCGGCGCCATCTCGCCACGTGGCACATGCAATATGGAGTAATGGCTTCCTTTCGCTACGCAACAATACCAATGAAAGGTTTTCTAGTTGTAAGATTTGCAAATAGTACATAAGTCATATTGTTACATCTTTTCATTCCTGCGATTACATACTTTTATCTAAACGAAAGAGTTTCAAGGATCTGGGTAAGTATTACAATAGCATTAGTAATATCATCCTTCTATATCATTGGTTCTCAAACGACCTGCGCGACCTCCAGGGGGGAAGGGGGGCGGCATATTTTCCTGAAAACGTAAAATCGCCTGCGCTTAGTGAAAAAACACCAAATACATTCGGCGAACACACGTTCTCGCGCAGAGCAAGCTTTGTCTCTTGTGACACAAGACTCGTTAGTCTTTCGTAAATCGCGAGGCAAACTTGACACGAGAATGAAGCGGTTCCTGATTAGTGGCAGAAACGAAGACACCAGTGCTCCATGATCTGACGGAGGGGAGGGTTCCATTCCGAAGGCGAAAACGACAAGTTTGATAATAAATATTTGTCGCTAGGCTTCACGAAAACTATGGTAAATGGTGTAGAGTGTCCGTAATGTGTAATTTGTTTAATCATTTTACCTGCTGACAGTGTGAAGCCTAGCACGTTAAAGATGCATCTTGAAACCAAACATTCTGAATTAACAGAAAAACTAAAAGAGTTTTTGTCAGAAAACTGAATGTGTTACAGTGTACCTGGCAGAATACAGCTAAAACTACATATGTCACTTCAAAGGCCTTGCTACCAAGTGTCTCAGGATTTTAAATGCAAGAAACCACACACAGTGGCAGAAAGACCTATTTCACCTGCAGCGATACAGTGTCAACGATGTTTGGTGACTCATTTGCACAACAATTAAAAACTATTCCACTCTCTAATGACACAGATTCTAGAGGGATTGTTGATATTTCTGTCGGTTTACTCGAGCAATTAATTTACAAGTGCGTGATAACTGGTTCACAATTCAAGTAGACGAAGCGACTGATGCTCAATTGATTGCTCATGTACATTTCGTTGGCGAGTATATACGTTTGGCTATTTGATGGTTCGAGGCATATTTTATAACTTAATAGTACATGAAAACCCTTTCTTTAGTGCCACGTAATTATTTTCTACACAAGGTACTAAAGCAGTACGGTTGCAAAAAAAGCGAGAAAATAATAAATACATTTTGTTAAATGATTTACAAGAAAAAGTTCTACAAAGACAAATGAAAGATTTCTTATACGTCAAAATGTATGGACATTGCTCTCTGTTTTGTCCGTATTTTTTCCCAGGATGGCGTGCTATATCACAAGAATCGTTAAATTTCTTCTAAACAATTGCATACATTTCACCATAACTTCTGTTTCCAGTCTATTAGATGATTGTAATAAATAAGTGCACGAGTAACACATTATTGACGCAATATTTTGAAGTTAAGTGTATGAACGGAACACAATGAGACAAAGCTAGGGATATTGCAAGCATACTACAATAAGCGCAATTTACATTAAGATTTTATTTACATGTAGGTAAACTATGACATTACTTTACTCCACTTTTGGTAATAGTAATCGACTTAATTATTTTTATTTTCATTTTTTCTCGGCCCATTCGTAAACACACTGGAATACCTCAATGCCAGTTGCAAAGACCTCTACTTGATCGCGTGACTTTCCTAAAAGCAATTATGAAGCCAGTTCCTGGAACGCGATAGCCCTCGGCGCAGTTACGTGTTTGCAAGCTGCGCTCCGCTTCTTTGCAGCAGGAAAGTGGTTTGTCCAAATGTAGTATACTAGAGGTGGCTTGTGGCTTTACTATTCCTGGAAAGTCAGCAAAATAATTTTCCATCATATTCCTTTCACGCAACCTACTCTGTGAAATGTTCTTTTTACTTTCCTGTATATACAGAGTGATAAGTGTAGCATATAGAAAGCCATGAGCTGCTTTGAATTTTTTTTTCAAAACATCCGTCTGTTTGTCCTTCTTAGTCAATCTAAACTGGTTCGAAACCCTTCGATTTTGAAAAAAAAAAAAAAAAAAATATTTATATTTTTGAGATAGTCTACTTCCCATGAAAGCCTTGGAACATTATCAAAATTTTCTCAAAAATGGCTCTTTTCTTTAGCTTCCTTGTAGCAATAGCCCGAAATACACTTGTAACAATGGTACAGGTCCGATTTTCAGGGTTACATCTGAATATTCGAATATTCTCAAAGTTTGAAATATTTTGGCGTCTTCCTACAACTACATAAGTGAAAATGGATGTTTTTTCTTCTAATGAAATTTGTCCTCCACAATCAGTTCTTTAATGCATATCATGTACATTTAAAAAAAATATTAGTTGTTCTCGCGCAACATTGACTAAAATATGAGTAATATTTTTAAAAAATGTTAAAAATAAAATTGTCTGAAAAACTATTCCAACTGTTTACTTTCTCGCATACTGGTTACGCAGTAAAGAAAAAGTATTGTAATGCGGCGATAAAAAAACGGTGATTTATTGACAGAAAACCTTACATTTACAGAAAGATATGTAAAACCATTTTTGCGAAGGTCCATGGTCATGCAAGCTCAAACAGGCCCTCGTGGCTTAAACAAGGCCCGGTGATAAAAGTAAAGTTATTCGTTGTTTCAAAAGGAAATCGTGTAAACCCTATTCAAAATTTAAAAAAAAAAGTCATAGGTAATTTTTTGTAAGAAAAGTAACTCAAATATTATATTAAATATTGTTCCCTGATGCTATTATTGACTACTTATCTAGCGAATATCAAAGAAGGGAAACAACTATAAATTAAGTATCTTTTAGGATAGTTTATCGTATTTGCGTATGCAGCCAAAATTTCGTTAACAGGGCCTCTACCAGTGTTCAAAATGGTCTCCTGAGTGAACGCAAGGTAAGCACCTGCGCCGCACGTCCTCCGAACAACTTTGCCGAGTTGTACTGCCTTTATTTCTGCCTCCCCGTGTTGAATGAGCCGAAGGTCATCACGGTCCTCAACATCGGTAGCATAAACGTGGACTTTCATTAATCCCTATCTCCGAAAGCGTTGGATGTCCCTGAGCGAAACTGCAGATTCTAATTTCCCGCAGTTCTTTTGCTGAAGTTTTTCGCAAAATATCGGATTACAATACAACAGCAACGCCACGACATGGGCAGAGTCAAATTCTCGGAATTCCGTCTCATTGTTGAGCGAGGTTTTAGGCTATATGGAAAGCAGCTTTGGGTTGTCGAATTTGTATGGAAAAAGATGATGTATTAGTTTTAAAAGACGTAGTTTTTGCTCTTAAGGCGCGACGATTGGTAGTTTTACAAGTGAAGGTTGAAATGGGTTAATATTGCCTGAAATCGCAGTATAATAGTACGTAACCAAATACTATAAAGACTCTCTAAGATTATAGTCTCCATTGTATTTGACAAAACCTAATATGAGAAAGAACATAGTGTTGTAGCTTTGGTTAGTTAGGAAGCTGTGAACAAAAAAGGTAAAAAGCTAAACTTCCAAACCTTATGATTTGGATTGTTTTTGGAAATAAACAACGGGCTGCGTCTAGTGTATCCTTCCGGCTTTGGACGAGAGACTGATAAAGGTCCCTCTTCCCCCTGTGATTTAAGACTTCTATTGTAGAGGTTACAAGTACGCAGATGACTGGCCAAAAACGAGTCAGCGAGAAATTGAGTAATTCCACCATTACTTCAACTGTCTCTTGCTATTCTCTTCGTCAAGACTCTTGAAGCACTACACTCAATTGCCAATTGAATGGGTGAAAACCAGAACGGTATATATGACATTTTATAAATTCTGAGAAATCTGTTGTTGGGTTTTTTAGTCGATATCACTGTAAAATCGTGGTGCTTTGTTTCATATTAACACCACAGCATATCAATTGTTCATTAAAACCACGAAAATACATTACCATTGAAATATATCCGAAAATAAACACGTTTTTTCTCAGAATTTATAAAATTTCTATTATACCGTTCTGGTATTCTTTCACAGCATCGCCATGGAAGAATACCATTGTGAATAACTTGTAGCCTTTTATCAACGGGAATGTGGACGTAGCTAGGATCACGAAGGAATACAATGGCTAGGATTTTCATCACGGGGGAAGGAGAGAAAATATTTTTGTTTACTATTTATTTAAGTCAAAACAGTTTAAAAACGACGTGCTGCAGGGAGAAGTGCATTCTGTACACGTTTTCATAATTCTGTGATCCCTACCTTGAGAAAGGAGCGTTTTGTGCACGGATTGTTAACAGAATATTCGCTCCAATTTTATAAATTCTATATTCAAGGTTAAATTAGCAAAAGAAATTTGAGCTTTTATCTCTCATTTCTTTAGTAATACTTCCTGCCGCGTCAACATGGAGAAAGATAATTTGAATAACTATATTTCCCATTGAATTCTAGAAGACGTAACAGATAATGAAGTTACATTTAGTATGGCCAGAAGCAAAACAAGGGGCCATCTCAGCATTTGCTCAAAGGATCAGGACAAAAAACCTGATTGAGATAGGGGACATTGACCCCAAAACTGCGGTACAATACTTGTTACAGGATGTTTAGAATTATACAGTCCAAATGATAAATAATGCATTAAATATCATTGTTTCAATTAATGTTATATACCGTTTTATGCTCGATATAGTCTCTAATTGTATAGAAACTGTTTAGCAGCAGACAATATTTTACTTGGGACGTAAACTTTTCTATCGGATTTAATCGTTTAATGTCATCTGGCAAAGTGTACAATAATGCATATGTATTGTATGTGCATTTTGTGTAGTCAGCTAAGATAAGAAAAATTGTTTAGTGGTATAATAAGATACTTGCATGAATAATGAGCGAATATATAATTAAAAATAATTGATTATATTAAATTTCGTAGTTTAAACCATGAAAATTATCGTAAATATAACTTCGGAAAAAAACTTTTAATTTTAAATGAAGGAATGATCTCCTTTAATAAAGAACTATCGTACTGTTTTATTTTTTATAAATAAATACAAAGTAATTATTAACGGTTATTTTCATCATGGGATTAATGGTGACATGGGAAGATTACATACCGATATTTGCACTGCGGTGTTATGAATGGTTATGGATTTGCTCTATAATGTAAGAACATGATTTGCACTACAATTTTGTCAATGCGACCTATAAATCACGTTCCATCAATGCCACCAATGCCAACTACATGGCATTGGATTTTGTTGGCAAGCGTCAGTGCGTGCTGGTACGCGCGAAGTTATGCTGTTTGAAAAAACTGTTTTCTGTGAAGGGAAATTTCATTTACGCGTTGAATAAGTGGTGCGACGTTTTAATTGCAAATATGTCGCTACATTTTACTCTGCTAGTGTTTCTGTGTGAAATAAATAGAATGACGTAGCGTATGCTAAAGTTTCGAGTTTTAATTTCTATGTCACGTAATGTATGTTAATACGAAAACATGAATTCTGAGGTTACAAGCATTCCTGTTATTACCTGTGTAACATCTGTTGTTTTACTCGTGTCGTTGTGGATCGTGATGTCGTTTTGTAAAATGTATTCAAAACAGCGTGTAGGTATGTTGTTAATCATGCCTTTTAATTATTACATTATAATTCACAAAGCAACATTGAACAAAATTAGTTACCCATTTTCTTATATTTTGAAAGAGGTACTTTGTTTGTGTTACTTTTTTGCATTAGAATTCAAGTAAAATCAGACATAGAATCTGATCCTTTAAAACAAAGGTAGTTTTTACTGTTATGTCTATTAGTTACAAATATGTCTGGTCAATTGTAGCCAAATTACATTTCCAACATTTGGTTAATGATTTCAATTACTGATAATGATCAGAAATGTTCAAAACTCTTTCTTAAGATATGTTTATTTTAATTTCAGAATAAAATAAAAAAAAATTGTTATAAAGAAAAACAATAATATGTTTGACATTAAAATTTGATTTTTGCGTCACTAATTTTGTATTAGCTGTTCAGTTCAGTTTTCAGGAATATGATGACATTTTTCTAGTTTTCAGTAACTCGAATGCCATTGTGATTAATTCTACAGCAAGCTCTTGTTCTTCCTTTGAATCTATTGTTGAAGAAATATATGATGCTGCCAAGGTAAAGAAAATATTCTCAAAATATTGGATGTGGTGCTTTTAAGTATTAATTAATGATATATTAGGCTTACTTGTTTTCAGAAAAGCAATTGCCAAGATAATTCAGAAAAATGCATCAATTTACTGAGACTCTACCCAGGATATGTGAATACTCCTGTGTCAACGAAAAACTTCACTCCATTTTTAGTATGAATAGTTTTGATATAATGAACTTGCGTAAAAACAGCTAATGGTGTTTTTGAAAATTATGTTACATAATTTTACTATTTTTTTGTAGCGTGCCTGTTGGACTGGAAGCACCCCTCTTGTGAAATACATGCTGGAAAATGGTATGGAATGGCTTGTATCAGTAGAAAGAAATAATTATATGAGTTGTCATTGCCACGGGTAAGGGGCCACTAGGTAGTTGTTTTGTGGCTTCCATACAGCAGAAAACTGACGATGGCTAACCCATCGAAAGCTGCTTTTGTAATAAACAATATTGTTGGCAATGACAACTCATATAATTATTTCATTGTAAACGCCAATGAAAACTCACCACAATACCAAAATTGTATCCGTAGAACATACTGTTGTCATTTCTGACTGAATGTCATTTAGTCATCTTCCTCTACTATACACTGAATGCAAAAATAATAAATATTTTATAACATAATTTTAAAATATAATATGAAATAGAGGAAAGAGTTTTTCCTCTACAGAATATAAATTTAAATCAATAATTTTTATTTTTGTTAATTGTGTTCAACTCATTTATTTTGCTTCCAAAGCAGCATGTATTACAACATGTGATGTTTAATCTGATAGCTTTAGGTTTGTTTTGAGAATATTGTGTGTTTTAATTAGGTATTTATTTATTATTAACAACTGTTGGTATTATATGATAAGTTTTATTTTGATAGGTGCTGATGTTTCTCTACGATCTAGTGTTGGTGATTCTGCTTTTTACTTAGCAGTTCATAAGATAGTGAAGGACAAGACTCAGTGGGATCCATCTCTTTTAAAATTGTTGTACAAATCAGGTAAGTAAGTCCTTGTGTAGTTGTCCATCTGAAGTTTTGATCAAATGAAACATTGTGTTTTTTTGACATTACAATGATATGGATAATCAGAAAGATCTGTTAAATTTTTTTTTTTTTAATATTTACATGACAAATAGACTACTAGTTACCATGAATTGCTAGTATTACAAAAAGTTATGTGAATAAATAAGTAACTATGAACTGAATTAAAAGTTGTTGTCTTTGGGCATTATGTGAAGTGAACTCAAAACATTGATCTTTCATGAAGCATGTTGGAAAGCTGGGTTTAGTTAATTATTTTAATTATGGAATTATTCAAAAAAAATTTTCCATTGGTAAAACAAAAAATAGAATTAACTTTTTTACATTCCACGAGTGTCAGAAATTCTATGTAAATCACCAGAGTGCCGAATATTTATGACTCCAAAGTGTTATACTGCACGTGATCTTGTAAGAATGTATGTTTCCATTTGGAGATTCATTTTGGCGTTGTTGTGATGTGCCTTTGTCTCGCCGGCGGGGGAGGGGCGGGTAGGGGATAGGTATTACTCGCGCAACTTTTCACAACTCAGCCACTAGATTTTATGAAGCAATGCCAATCTGGAGAATGTCACGCCTTCGCTACTATCTCAAAAAACTGCGTTCTAACTTTCTCAGGAATTCGAGGTATCTCCTGTGATGGATCTTCACCAGCTGCTGTCATATCTTTAGATTTTTTGCAGATAATCACGGATAGAAGTTTTCAACAGAAAATATTTTCTATTTCGCGCCAGTAAAGATGTGTTTAGAATGTTGTCATCACTGCTCGCTACGAGCTTTTGCCTTCATCTGTTTATTGTGCTAGAGGGGGGGAAGTAAGGTCATCGTTCAAGAAAAGTTGCGCGAGTAATACCTGCCCTCAGTTTCAAGTACATGCAGTGGTTTGATTCGAAATTAATTTTTTACTAAAGTCAATTTCAGTATAACTTGTATTCAGTATAAAAGTATAAAAGTCAATTTCAGTTTAACTTGTTATTCTTGTAGAAACGACATTAAGACAATGAAATGATCACATGGTGTACATAAACAGCTTTTGCCGGCGTTCATTAGCCAAAATGCTTGGTATAGGAATGTTCTGAAGGTGCTTGCGAACTGTTGGGTAGACTCGACAGTCACCAACAATCATAATCATCATCATCATTTATCCTCCGATATTAATGTCGTGTCACGTCGCTACGACTTACGTAAATTTTGGGTGTTGAAGCTTCCGATTGGAAGACTGTCTCCCTCGCCTTCCAGTTTGTGACCTTGAGGAGACACTACATTTAAATTGGGCAATAAGTTCATTGTTAGCAAGGATACCATATTATTTCGGAGTAGGGTTGCCACCTCTCCGGTTTTAGACCGGAGACTCCGGTTTTTGAGCTTCATCTCCGATCTCCGGTTTTTGAAAAATTATCTCCGTTTTTTTTTCCTTCTTTTTTTCTTCCAATTTCAATACATTTTCAAATTTCTTACAAAATTAATAGATTTTTCAACTTAAAATTTCAAGCTTTTTCTATTTCATCAGAAATCTGTCCTTTCCTTCTTCATTAGAAAAATAAAGAGCAGAACATGAAAATTGGTCTTGCGATTCTCGTGTTATCGCTATCCGCTGTCTCTTTCTTTCTATGCATATCAGACAGAGGCAGCATCTAGCGATTATGCGAGAATCGCATCGCGCAACAGTTTCAAGAATAATTTCCCGGGAATGCTATTCGATATCTTCATTTTGAACAAGATCGAATTTTCGTTTGTTTTTTCTTAGAAAATTATAGCTGGAACGAAAAGTTTAGCTGGAAAAAGTAGAATGTTAGCAAAGTGTAACACTATTTTGAATAAATGTTAATTATTTATGGATCACTAGAAACCAAAGATATGTAAATATATTTTAAAGAAATAAATAAAAGTCTGCGTCAATTTCTTTTAAGATTTCAGTAATTACCCCCCCCCCCGGTTGCAGCGGTCTCCGGTTTTCTGGAATTGGCAAGGTGGCAACCCTATTTCGGAGAGATGGAAGGATGTTATGGAAAACTGCAAGGTCCCTCATGACAACTAAACACTTTTTCCTCGTAACACTATATGTTCAGGAAAGTTCGGCCTCAACCATATGCCCATGATTATCAAAGTATATTATTGATTTCATGAAGAGCTACAATACAACTTGTCAATTTTAAATCTATAGCATCCGCCGTGTTAACTTCAATAAATCAATAAAAACTGCCGGTGTCATGACAAAAATTCCGGGGAGGATCACACTTCCTTTAATCCCCCTCCCGTTCCCAACTTTACGTGCCAGAGACACCTATGAATTGTCTTGTGACTCTCTTGCTCCTCTTTCCCCTCCCTCCACCAAAGACAGGAATTGGTCGAAAGCGAAGCGGACAAATGTTCCAGGAATGATTAGCTTGCCATTGCTTTCCTGTCTTTGCCATGCCATTTAGTGTTATCGGATCTTTCGTACTACTTATGCCTTGTTTCTGACGAATGTTGTGGTTCCTTTTCTGAGACTTTCTTGAGCATTTAGACTTGGAGTGGTTTGCCAGAGCCGAGGATTTTGACCTACAGATGGTGGGCTGCGAGGAAAGGGAAAGTGCTTAAAAGTACCAAAATTAAACATTTTCATACAAAGCGCTGAATGTAGCAAGGCGAATAACATGATAGAGCTAAATGTCGTATTTATTTCCAAAGCGATTGGATATTTTGTTCGTTCTTCTGAATGCAGTTTGGCTTGAGAAAATTTACTTTTGATTTATTTAGTAAAAAAAAAAAAAGACAGTAAGAACTGTAGGTGACGTATGGGGGAGAAGATCATCTGCGCAAGTTTTCGTGAGTTCCAGAATCCTTTCCTATCATTTTAACTATAAATAGTTGAAAATGAGTAAACAAATAAATAAAAATTAAATTTAAAAAAGCGCGAGATAAGCAACATTTGAAAAACTAGACATCTTCGTTCCTGAGTTATAGAAAACTTATTTGCAACGTAAACGAACTGCAAATTATATTTTGCTGCATTGCTAACAAAATAGTAACTAGCCCTGAACTCTATACTCCTACCACTACAAGCAAAAGGAGAGTTCGACAAAATGTGTGTATAGTCAAGCTACATTTACATTAATTCGTGAATAAACAACCGTAAAACCTACAAAGCTATAAATATGTGCTTCAAGAATATCTTCGCCGGTCCGGTGGCCGGAATCGCTAAGGCAGTAGTGCCGTAGCGAACTCGGACAGAAGGATCGCGGGTTCGAGTCCCGCCTCGGGCATGGTTGTATTGTGTTTCGTTCTTTCACCCCCTATCATCATTATCGTGTCAACCCACAGTTACCATACCGTTACAAGCAATAGTGGTCGCTAATGACCTAGTAGTTGATGCGACCTTAAACAAAAACAAAAACAAACAAAACAAAGAATATCTTCAAGGAAGAGTCTACAGCAATATACTCACAAACTCCTACTGTTTACATATTCTCAAGTTACGTTAGAAAACACAAACAACCTGCACCAACGGAATTGAGAGAATGGCTCCAAAAATTAATAATACAGGCCGTAATACCGTAATGTGACAAAACAGCCGTGCGCAGCCTAAAACAAGAGGCAACGATTACGTTTCTGAGCCCTATTTTCCACTGAACTATTTTATTTACAGATGACACTTTACGGTAAATGAATAAAACATTCTAAACGGAGAATGTATCATGACTTTGATACAATTAATAAATACAATAGATTTGAAGTTACACCATTTATACCGTTGCCAAATGGCTGGGGAGCCTCATCCTCAAATGTGTATCAAAACCTCAAACTGTCAGCTTAACAAGTGAAGGTGAAATAGATCAATTTTACGGAAATAAAATGTTTTATTATGTAGGGCTAGCCCTGTAGAAATTTAAGGAGGGGGAGGGGCTCCCCCTGCCGCCCCCTTTTCATGCGTATGGCCAAAAAAAAAGAAGTGTTTTCCCAATGAGATATTTCAGATACTATACCAGAAAACAAATTATACATATTGAAATTGTCAGCGAAGTAGAAAATTAAAATTTAGTAAAAAATGCGTTGTAGGACATGAGTTATGCTTCTCGATAGTAAAAAGAATACAAGCTATTTTCACTGAAAGAATATTCTCCTTCTTCCATATACATATTAATTTAAATGTTATCATTCGGAATATGTATTTTCCTGATATTTATTTTGCTTTAATTTGGTACCTAATCAAATAGGAACATTGTTTTTTTAATGTAGCTTTTCATATCCTATTATTATCAATTTAGTGTATCAAAATCACCGTATCGTCAGGTATCCAGCAAAATTGAGCCAGTTAAGTTTTACTCAAAATTAAAATTTATTTTTTGAGTGAATAATCTACGTATTTTGTTGTCTTGGAAGAATGCGGAAGTTTTCCGAACTCACGATTCAGTACATAAACCAGTCATGTGAAATTTGACTGGTTTAGTTTGTTCTTTAAATTGATGTGGCCTTTAATGAGTAATGATGTCGGGGCTATTTTTGGATACATCATGATATGCCATTGCCGTCCACTCTACAAAATGTGAGAATTTTCTTTAAACGCGAGTTTTGAACCATTAATCGACATTTTTAACTTCATTACGAAAACAGTTTTACGCAGGGAATTTTTAATTAAAAAATAGTTTATGAAGTTTGATTTTAATGGAACTTGTTATAATTTATCCCCTTGACCGGCACCTCAGGTATTTGCGAGGGCTACCAGATGGCTAACGCGGCCCTGGCCGCCGCTAATCTAAATCATTCCTGCGCACTGGTGGTCAGTTGGCGGTACAAGTCTCTCTTTGTGTCTGGGATGTCGTAGGTATGGTTTATATTTTTCTTTGGCGTTGGAGACTCTTGCGAGAAGGCCATTTTACGCTCCCGTTTAAGCCTACCCCCCGCACGGATGTAAAGCAGGGATGCTCGAATGCAAGGATTCGGGCCCTCGGTGGTAGTATGCTCTTGGCCCTCACTAAACT